GTCTTACAGGAACATCGAAGTCTTCATCTACAGTCAGCATTTACATCCATTCTAATGAAAATTTAAAAAAAATTATGAAATAGTCTTGACTTGAATTTTCAGTTTTGTGTTTCCGACTTTTATTACACTAGTCTAAGATAAATATTTTCTTTCCAGAGATTATAGCAATGACAGTGGCGGATCCAGGATCGCCCACCAGACAGTTGAAAATATAAAAAATATTGAAGAATCGGCAACATATTATTAATAATATAATATTTTCTACATTAAACGGTGACGAATCTCGAAGAGATTAACGGGGGTACATTCCCTTATCAGATGATCAAATTTCAATACCTTTCGTGTTAACGTGTTAAACTAATTCAAATAATGAGGAACAAGCAGAAAAATGTAGTTATCATCGTTAGATAATCATTCTCCCCATCTCATAATTTAAGGATCCGCCACTGAAATATATTTAGAAATATAAGTATTAATTGCAAAGTTTCGATTAATTTTAAATTTATATTAATCAGTTCGCATATTTTTCAGCCAAGCCAAAAATAAATAAATCTCTGACGTCGTATGAAGCAGTTCAAAGTCAAGAGTTCACTCTGCCGTGTTTTGCAGAAGGTCATCCTAATCCAAAATATGAATTCACAAAGGTTAAGTTTTAAAACACTGACTTAATCGCAAAATATTTGCAGAAGCACGTACATATCTTAAAAAAATTATGATTTTTCAAAGTGCAAATGAGCTACATCATAAATATTTGGATAAATATCTTTGCATAGGACGGTAGCTCCATTCCACTGTTCTCTACCGACAGAAAACATTATGATGCTGATGGTGGTCAGCTGACTTTTCGGCCTTTGACCTCAGATGATGCCGGTATGTACACGTGCAAATCTTACAACGCCGTTGGCCAAGATGAACATGACATCCAACTCATCGTCATCGGTTTGTTTTTTATAAAATATTTTCCTCTTATTTAAGATTTTTTAAAAAAATTTCAATCCGCAATAAACGAGTACAAGTATTTTAAAATGCATTCAGAGCCACCTAGCATATACCCTCTGTATAACAGAACGGGCGTTGAAAACACGTCTTTGGAGTTCACATGCTTGTCTCGTGGCAATCCAGCCCCCAACATGACCTTCACTAAGTATGCCAGCAAACAGCCATACAGAATGGGAGAAAATGTAATCCCCATGTTATTTTTACTCCAAAATTTTTGTATTCAGTTTTAATGTAATGTAATTTCCACTTAAACTGCAATGCAAAGTTTTTAAGACAAAAACAAGATCTTGAAATTATTTGAATTTTCAACCTCTGCACTTTTTTTAACCACAGATTAATAATAACGTTTAAATAAATTGAACTAGGAGAACGGAAGGATAATTATAACATCGCCAGAGAAAGGTGAGTTGGTGATGAGAGTGAACAGCTTAATACCGGACGACATGTCCAATTATACATGTTCTAGTGTCAACAAGGGTGGATCTCACCACAGAAATGGAACAATTACCGTTTATTGTGGGTTAAATATTATAATTAATTTTAAAAATTCCGTTCGTTGCTTTTTTATGATATGATTCAAATAATTTGCATTCTTGAAAAGTATTAGAGAAATAACAATGATCCGTCGTCGAAATTTAGATTTAAGCCTACTCTAAAAATTTGACAAACTTCGTGATCATCATCTTCTTAGTCTCCCCTCGATTTCATCCTGACAACGTGCGATCAGTTTACATATGGCCAGGAAAAACGCGAAATATAACGTGTTTGATATCGGCGGAGCCAATGCCATCGGTTCAGTGGATCAAATACCCGAGAATACCCAAGCCGATACAAAACAATCAAACATTTAAAATACACTATATGGGGAAGAATTCAAATTTGCAAGTAAATTCTTTCTTTCTTTGATTGCCTATTTATAAAGTTTTAAATTGTGTTAAAATGAATAAATATTCAGATAATTAAATTTGATGGCATTTTTCCGACATCCAGTTATCTTCAACGGATGTCGGATTTTTTATTTTCCGACATAAATATTGAACGTTAATTTAAAATTGGCTCAATTGCATTTTATGTTGGGTGCAATTAGTTTTCAAAAATGTTACATCGAATTACACATTTGAATTGAAACGTAGCACATAACCTGAAAGTGTTATTCCTCGCTATGATGTTAATCTATATTTAAGCTCTCACCGATGGCCTTGGATCTCCCGGCACTATTGAATTACACATAAGAGGTAAAGTGAAGCGTTTGGTTTAAACGTTGACCTGGAAGCAATTACGTCGTTGTACTTGTTTTACGCTGAAGACGATCACCTGCTGGGGTCCCTCAGCATCAGTTAGCCTATGATGGATGCGTGACGTCACTGCTTCTCTTGTTTCAATGGAGGATATTCGACAGGGCAAATCCAGTTTAAAATTTCATGCCAGACATCAATTATAATGGTTGTGCTTCTCTTGTTTGAAGCAGAGCTTACAATTTGGAGAATACGATAGAATAGGCCTACTGTATTCTTAATTTATTTTATCAATTACACTGATCATTTGCAAAAAACATGCTTCATTTAAATTATTTCAATGGCTCGCATCTGATATGATGAATCTTAATCCCTTTGAAGCGTCTGTTAGTTAACCCCAACGTTTGTAGTTTTAAAATAGTTCAAACTCTTTGGAGCCGACTACCGGATATGACATAAGTGATTTATTTTCTGTTTATTTGCAATGTAATGACACTAATTGCTGATATTTATCACGCCTCCGCTTTGCTCAGAATTGTAGAGATGTTTGCCTACTTTAAAAACAAATCTCAAGCTGAATTATTGATAACGAATGCCAGACGTTTTGCCTCCTTGACTTTACGCCCTCAAGACGATTAGCCCTCATCTTTACAGTTCGCCCGCGAAATGATTGGCCCGAAAGACGATTCGCCCACTAAACTATTCGCACGCATGTGTTTGTGTGTATGTGTATGTTTATTTGTTTGTGCGTATATGTTTATGTGTTTGCGGGTATCGGGTATGTTTCTGTGTATATATGTTTATGTGTGTGTTTGTTTATCTGTTTGTGTGTATGTGTTTGTGTGTACATATGATGTACAGGACATATAATTTGGATGCTGATGTTCACCCAATTTTTGCTGATTTACGGGCCTAGATAAGTTTTAATGGTCATAGGCGTCTGGAGAGGTAATAATTAAAAAGTAATGTGTGCGCTTGATTTTTTATTTGTTAGCATACCTATATAATAAAAATTAACATAATAATAATAATAATAATAATAATGTTATTATCATTATTATTAAAATGTTGGTAAGAATGTCTTGTTAGTAAACTCAATATTATGTCAACCAGGTTCGTTTTGGTTTAGTTTATCATTTTATACTCATCACTATTAACATCATTTTATTATTTTATGAAAAATTCTATACACTCAATTTACCATTTACGATCACCATCATTAACGTCATAATTGCCGTTATCATAATTTATCATTATCATCATCGTTGTTAAACTATCACCTGATGTTTAAAATCATCACTATACGCATTTGCATCATTTCACTCGTCATAATCATCACCAATATTAAACCAATCAGTATAATCAACATTATAATTTCTGTCTTCATATTCATCACCATCATCATGATCACTATCATCATCGTTATTACTTATTAGTTATACCGTTGCTCACTATCGCCATCAACAATATCATAATTATCATCATCATAGTCGTTATCATTATTGAAATTATTGATATAATCATTACTACCTAAATAATAATTATTATCATCATCATAACCATTATCATAAAAATAATCATCACTGATAATAATGATAATGGTGTCGATGATTGCATTGCTGATAGCACGCAACCCGGTTAATGCAGGTTGGTGTAAGTTAATTACCATGCTAAGTTGTGCTTATAAGCATTTTGTATATAAACACAGATGTGTTAAAGTTTGTATGTATGTATATCATTTTTATACTATCTCGGTGTGTATATATAGTAGCAACGCTCCAAATAAATTTGTCTAAACGGTCCAAATAAATTTGTAAAAAACGATTTTAAATGATATAATATATAGGCGGAACATAAACATCTAGCGTTGAACGTATAGGGGCGAATCGTCTTTAGCGCGGGTAAGTTGTCTTGAGGGCGAAAGTGACAGCAGGCAAAACGTTCATCCATAAAATTAAGGAGGCGAATCGTCTTTTGTGCGGGCGAAAGTGACAGGCGGCGAAACGTCGTGTTACCATTGATAACATTACGTTAATGACAATAATAATGTTAATAATTCTATAGGTTACGGTTCGAGAAATTGATCAAAATTGGATTTATGGTAACTATACATGCTTGGCAAAAAACCAATATGGTGAAAACGGTTTGCAGATAGATCTGGTCAAAGCAAGTAAGAATAAATAAATAAGTAATATATATTATATATATGTATATATATATGTATATATATATATATATATGTGTGTTGGAAGGAGACCATATTTTATACAGTATTGTATAAATTCTACCGATTTTTTGGCAATTTAAAGTTTGTCTTTTCAATTTTTCTTAGTAGAATTTTCTGGAAATTGTTCAACTGTTTGAAAATAAAATTATCCAAGTTCATCATGAAAATTTAATGTAACTGTTGTTATCCGAATTCGTCATGCAGATAAGGCCTTATTTCGATTTTTCATAAATCATCCGTGCAGGTTTCGTTTATATATTTTCTTTAAACAAAGCAAAGTTTTTCTAGCAAAGTTTATTAGTTGGTGTCGTATTCTTCTATTCTAGTTCTAGAAAATTCTAGTAAGGAAAATTGAAATGACAAACTTTAAATTGATTAATGCCAACAATTCGGTAGAATTTATACATTACTCTATATATATATATATATATATATATATATATAATCATATATATTATATAAAGCAACATGGTCACAATCAGCGTGATTTTCTAATCTGTTTTAATCAATTAACAAAGATATTCCTGGTCCTCCAAAATCAGCAAAGGCCGTCGATGTAACTTCTGATACACTATATTTAGAAATTGAGCCTCCAGTAGATGATGGCGGGGAACAAGTCCTGGCTTACCGCATTTTTTATGAATCTGTGACCTTACAATTTTCATTAAGTAAGAGGTACTTTGCTTAACCGTGATTAGATTTTGGCCTTTAAATAGGCTCAATTTTTATATGATCAAAACATTTAGCTTTATTGCTCTTTTAATTTAACGTCAATGTTGTTGGTTTTTATGAGCTTGTAGCTCATTCAATATGAAAACGTATGCTTCAATCAGACTAATCTCGGGTAATCAGATTGCCTCACTTGTATACGTCCAACCTCACCAGAAATAACCTCACATTCATAATTTTTTAACGCATCCACTGTCGGTCCCAACAGCGGAAAAACATTTTTATTTTTTTTTATCAATCTTGCATATGCATTGTACATGATAGTTATTTTGACTAAAACTGTTTGAATCTATTGTGAAAACATTGTTAGCTTCTAGTAATCTGATTTTAATTTAAATAATTCTGTCGACAAATTACATGGCTCTACTCTTTCCTAGGAATAAGTCATTTTTCTCTTATTCAGACCATTTTCAGGTTGACCTTTTTTCACAATTCACAATATTAGTTTGGTAATTGTAACTGTAAAATTCATTTATTTGCAGATGAGAAAGTATTCATCGAAAAACTAAGAGCGGGCACAACATTCGTATTTCAAATTAGGGCCTTTTCAGAAGTTGGATATGGAGAACCGTTAACATTGGCTGTCAAAACAGAAGAAATAAGTTAGCAAGATAACTACCCTTTTCAAGTTTTCATCATGATGTATTTATAGACACAAATTTATTTTGCAGAACCGCCATCCAAACTTATTTTGACATCGAAGCCAGTGAGTGAACAGCCCTATAAATATACAATAACGTGGAGCAAGCCAATAACTGGAGGATTACCTATTAGGCAATATGAGTTTAAGTACAGAGAGGTTAGTCAAAAAAATTGTCAATGTTTAATTTACGATAAATATTCAACTTTTTAAACACAGATTATCTTTGAAAACGGTCAAGTTAAGCCCTTAGAACAATGGAAAATTCGGCAAAGATACGATGACGACATCAGACCTATGACATTTTATTTACTGGAAGGGCTTCAGGACAACACAATCTATCAATTAGAAGTAAGAGCTCGCAATGAAAGAGGCTGGTCTGACACCTCGGACCTCTTCCATTTTCACACAGTAGAAGGTAAATCATAAACCCTCAAAAAAATATTCTAACAAATAAACAAACAAACGTTTTGTCCTAGATCCCATTAGAGAACATGTTAAAGACTCGGCTAAGCGATCTGAAACATACAAATGCCTATTTTACCTGTGTCTCCTGATACTTTTTCTAGCAACATAATTTATTACTACCGAAGTGCTACAGCAACGTAAAATTTCTGGATATTTATCATTTCCTAGTCTCAAAAAAAGAATATTTCATGAACCACATCAAATTTTTATGTTCGTTTTTATTTGTAAATGTAAACCTTTTAACGCAGCATTTTTTTAAACAAATCTTGATAATTAACAATATCAGTTTTTACATCATACCAAATAAAATCGATGTCAGCAATGATAATTCATAAACCTACGTTTCATTTTTAGTCATCAATGAAATGAATCCAAATAATTTTGTGTAAAACAATTTTAGGTATTCAGGTATTTAATGTTTAGTACTCAGCATTACCAAACTGTTGATTACTGTTGGAGGGAGGTAGCGGGGGAAGCTGCTGATTGTATCCCTCATAGTAATCTTGATCATTTTCTCGTTTAACATAGCCACTACCATTTCCATAGTCTCCACCGTATTCGCCATCATTCATTTCTTCTTTTACCTGAGATTTTATTTTTTCTTTCTTCACTTTGTCTCTCGACCTTGATCTTTTAGGTCTCCTTCTATCTTTAGACCTGCTTCGGCGGCGATCACGAGATCTACTCCTGCGACTCCTCTTGCGGGCTGAAGCACCTGAAAATACGTTTGTGTAAATTTGTGAAGAAAAATATACCTGTGGAAAGGACCATTCATGTCAAAACTAAATAAATATAAGATAATAAAAAACATTTTTATGGATTAATAAACAGAAATTAAAGGCAATTAGAATTAAATACCGTTGACATCATCCGTGATTTCTTTTTTAATGTCTCTATCAGCTGATCTTTTCCTTTCTCTACTTCTTTTCTTTCTGTCTCTACTCCTCCTTCTATCTCTATCCCGACTTCTCGAACGACGTCTATCCCTGCTTGATTCCCTCATCGTTCTTTCTCTGTCATCAGGCAAGACTCTGCATATAGCAATATTTTATTAAATTTATCACGAATACATCACTGGTAAAAACGCTTATTTTCAAAAAATTTTGATGAAATGGTATTCTTAGCATCTCCATAAATTGTTAATAACGTAAAACAGACACCATTTGACACTAATAAATTAAGAACATAACTCTATTGAAAATGAATTATCAAAAGCGTGAAAACATACAGTCGAACCTACGTATAAGGGACTTGATGGTTCCATGAAAAATATTTGTTATATAGAAATATCGTTATATAGAATTTGTTTGGGAAAATATTCTATATTACCTGAAAAGTGTTTATCTGCTATATATTCATGAAAAAAAACCTAATCATTATTTTGGCAACAGAAAGTAATAAAACATGGTATAATTGTAAAAATTAAAATTTCCGAATTGAAACTTATTTTTTGTTCAATGCAACGATAATTCAGATTCCACTGAAATTGGGTAGAATTCGCAAAATATACTAGAACAAGGAACAATAAATATGGTTCCAGGAAATTAAAGGAATACAAAAACACTACTTATATCAATTCATAGTTCAATTCAAATCAATTGGTCGGATATTTTTTTTAACTTTTATAAATTTTGTACGTTATAAAAAAATTAATTTCGTTGTATATAAACAAGTTTATATGTAAAGTTCCAAGGGACATAAAAAACTCGTTATATAGATATTTTCGTTGTATAGAAAATCGTTATAAGGAGGTCTGACTGTACATTATATAATAATATCAAAATAATAAAATGTACAGATATAGAGTATTTTAATGGAAACAAAAACGAAAGAAAGGTGTCGGTATAATAAAGCATGAAATAAAATTAAACTACCTATCACGAGCATCGAAGTCATCTCTACCAGAATACTTGGTATTCACTTCTGGTCCTCCTTTCCTAGTGTTGCCGAGACCACCACCTATCCAATCAAACATGCAACTTTCAGCAAACGACCAGAACTTTGAAAATAATTTTTAAAATGAAATTTAGCTCACCTAGTCTCCTTGGCCTCCAACCTTTAACAGTTCTTCCTCTTTCAACATCGACCAGAACTCGTCGCCCATCAATCTTCTTGCCGTCCGCATGCTTGTAAGCGGCTATAATTCAAATATCCAACAATAGTGTACGTTTATGTACGAGAATGTTTTTCCCAACTAACCAGTCAGATAATATTTGCATATTTACATAAATTGCGTACATGTGTTTTTCTTAATTTATTTTCCCGGATAGCATGCGGTTAGATTTTTTAATAACCTTACTAAACTATGGCATAAATTGAACTTTAAGATAACCTCATGGCTGGAAATTATTTTTGATGCATCTTACAAAGACTCAGCTGTAATCATTCGGTATTTTTGGCATGTAACATTTTTTATTGTTTCTATAGTACATACGGCAAAAATTTTTACACAAGAATGCTACCAGTACAATGCTTAAAAGAACATCACTCTGAAAACGTTAAGAAACAAATGGCTCATCAAAAGTGTATCAAATGTTTTAATCACCAAGGACGGTGTCAAGTGATCCATTAAATGAACGTTTTATGGTTTTGACACTACTTTCTCTCAATTTTATCTTTAAGAAAAAATTAAATTAAAATCAGCCGAAACACCGGCAAAATTGTCATCATCAGTTCAAAAGTTATAGAAAAAAAAACTCAGCCTTCTTTGACTCTGAAGGAAGGACTTCTAATTTGATTCTTTGAAGTTATATATAAAAGAAACGCAAGTAAGAATTCTAATAAAATGAAATAATCAATTCAATTGCTTAGAAAAATTTGTAGATACCTATAATCTTTTGACATTGCATCTGCTATATTGTTCAGAGTCAGCATTAAATTAATAATCATTAAACAGTTGAAGAGCAGCAGTTGCAAATTTGATCACAGAAACAAGACATTAAGGCATTGTAACCACAATTAACATGCATCTCGCAACACCGTCTCCATTTACAAGTGATATGTTACAACATCACTATTTCCTTACCGATCCATGAAACTTACACACTCCAATGGATGATTAGGTCCTCTTCTTCAGTTAATTTAACAAACAAATTACAAAAAAACAAACCCTTATTTGGCATAACTAACCAAAATTCCAGTCAAGAAACTTCTAGTCGTTTTTGTTAAATTTAATTTCAACAAAATATTTAAAAACAACTGTTAAAAATCTAATTTTTTATATGATAGTCATATTATGAATGACTACAAATTTAAAATTCGATTTTACAAACCCTTCTGTAAACCCAAACCTTACCATGGCTTTTTTCGATTATACAAACCTAATAATGACCTCAAGTGACATTGAAGTAAAACAAGTTGCTACTACAAGCAGTGCGGCGGCAAAAACAATGTTCTTGCTTCTACAGATGTTCTGAAGAAACAAAAACATGACAATTTACTAACTGAGGCAACATTATCTATATCACCTCAACAATTCCATTTGAATGGAGGTTAAGATGATTAAATATGCAATTGCTCATTACAAACCAACACACCAACCAGCAATTTTAAATAAACATCAGCCTACATATACAATCAATCAGCCATTCACTCACTGACTTGTAAGATGATTAGTAGAAAAAAATAAAGAAGCCTTAACTCACCGTGCATATCTCGTTCATGCTCGTATTCCACAAATGCATAGCCTCTAGGTTTGTTGTTCTTTGTGCTGGTGATCATGTGAATCTGCGGAGGTAAAAAAAATGAAACAATTCATTTTTCTCTCAAAATTATTTTAAAAGTTATCATCTATAAAAAAGAGGTTGACTTTCTTATCTTTTAATTAGCCTATCAGATCAATATTTACATTAAAAAACCATTTTTAAATTAATATACTAGATTTTTATTTGAAAACTTTAAAATAAAATAGTAAATCTTGTCATGCTGAAATCTTGTCATCTTGTCATTCCAAAGTTAATTAATCATAAACATTTACCAATATTTAGTAAAGCAGTCCCAGATCAAATGACATTGCAAAGCAACAGTTAATGCAAAATAACATTCAGAAAAAATAAAGTTTCAGTAAAGTTTCAAAAACAAAATGTGAACTATTGTATCAATGTTCTACAGCTCTGAAAAATTATTTATCATTATTGTTGAGGAACGAAAAACATTGACTTTGAAGATGAGATGAAAAACCAAATTTAGACATAAACAATCTCCAGGCAAAAGCCAGAAAGTTTAATTGAGAGTAAGGCCTAGCATGTTAACAGGCATTTATTCGATGCATAAGCATCAGAAACAGAAAAGCGAACCAATTTTTATTTTCACTACAAAAATTTATGCCTGTCAAAGACTGAGGTTTAAATTGAAGTAATTCGCATATTAAACAAAAATAAACAATGCAAGCATATTAAGACAACTTTAAAATAATTAAATTAATTAACTAATTAAGCAATAAATAAATTGAAAAGAAAACAATTAAAAATTCTTAACACTTCATAAAAAACTCTGGTGACAAAAAGAGGCAACCATAAACAGAAAACTAATTTAATGTAGAGTTAAAAAATGTCGAAATTTTTAATCAGTAAATTAAAAAAAATAAAGTGTACAACGACACCGGACCATGTTGATTCATAGAAGAAACACTAATAAAATTTATACAAAAAATATAATTTAATACCTTTTTTATTGGACCATATTGATCAAATTCTCGCCTCAGTTTAGACTCGCTGGTATCAAAATTCTGTGAGAGGTGTTACATTTGAAGTTATTTCAAAAGTTTTTAAAGCAATATTCAATTCCAATTTGTAGACAAAAAGCAACAAAACTACATTAGCTAAACAATATAGTGAGATGAAATTGATGCATATTTAGTATTAAAATAATAATAAATCAGTTGATTCACAGAATAGCAAAAGGTGTCATACATTCATACATACATACATACATACAAACAAATACATATATACACGCACACACGTCCCCACATACATATATATGTGGGGGTGTTTCAAAAAATGCACACACTCTTATGAAGCAACCATACTACAATAAACACAAAGTACCAAAATTAACTATTCAAACTGGATGCACCTTATATATATATATATATATATATATATATATATATATAATGTGTGTGTGCGTGCGCGCGCGTGCGTGTACATCCATGTAGGCAAATGTCTCAATTTTATTGAAACTTTTCCTTAAAAAAATATTAACAGTTACTCACAACTCTTGCAACAAAAAGTGTTTTAAAAGGATCTCCATAAATTTTGTTGTCATTTGAAGGATCCCATAACGCAAGGTCTTGCTCCAATTTGTAAGCTGTTTGTTCAGCTCTTTCTTTTCTCTGAAAAGAAAACATTTCAGTTGAGTTACATTGCTCCATTTATTCATCTTAAACTAAATTAATTAATTAATAAACCTTTCTTTCTTTCTTTTCTTCTCTTGTTTCAACTCTGGTAGGGGGAGGTGTTTCTTTAGGATTCTGTGAAAAATGTAAAAATTTTCTGCTTATTTGTAATGTTTGAAATTTAAAACAATGCAGAGAATCTTAATGCATAAGCCTTCAAGTTAAACTTGTTCACTGTTCAAAAATTTAAATAAAAATTAAAAAATAATAAATAAACAATTAAAGCCTGGAAATCAATGAAACTTTAAACAACATTGTAATCAGTTCCTAATTATCTCTCTAAAAATCTAATTCTACTGACTAAGCCTAGTAGTCTGTATACTACTAATTGTAACAGTTTACCCCGTGGGGAGGGGGCGAATTAGATAATTAATTTAAGACAATATGGAGGAAGACGTAATGAAAATTTTGTCATAAGGTTACATTTGCATCCCTCTTTCTAACCGAATTTTATGTTTTTAATATTATTTTAAACTTATCCTTTATATACTTGCTATGAAATAATAGTTTTAAAATAAATAAATATCATTTATTGTTTGAGTTTATCAATTCATTTAGCTGAAACAAAGCAGCATTGGGGATCAGGATGATCTTTAAAGCTTTTGGAAAATAATATAATTATTTTATAACTATCTATCTATCTATCTAGCCATCTTCATTTAGCATCCTGAAACCCGGTTCCCTGAGGTAGGATGTTGTTTTCTTTACCATCAATTTTTTGCACCAATTTAGACGATTATTCTATAACCATTGTATTTTTTCAATTAATTAATTAATATCATATTTATTGAATATTTCTATATAAAACCTTTCTGTAATCGAAGATTAAGCAAAAACTTTGCTGCCCAATCGGACCTATATAGCGCCTATACATTTCAATGGTTAATTGTTAAAAATATCATTGTTTTATAATAGGAAACAATTAATGTCCTCTAGCAGGTAAAAGCTACCACTGATGGATGTATATTTTTTATTATCAATATGTTAATTTCATAAAAAGTTTTGTATTCGCCCCCCCCCCCACGGGTAAATAGGGTTGGTAGATAAGATAGCTTTTGGATTATAATTATATTATAGCTAGGTAGAGAATCTTTCTATTAATATAATACAAAACATATAAAAATAAATAAAAATGCATATTATAGATATTAGATACAATACATATAGAGATCAGAAAAGCCCAGAATAGAATAAAAAAAATATTTGAACGACGACAAACCTCGAATTGGCGAACGAAATCAGCGACACCGATGTAGGGCTTGCTCTCCTTTTCATGAGGGAGTTTGTCCACCGGAGGCAAATACGGAATAGGATCTCTAGCGGCAAACAATGCTAACAAATTCGGCGGAAGAAACTGCGTCATTTTCCAGTCGGATTAGAACATCAAATAAAAGTTTTATTTATCGTTTATATAATGTTTTATTATAAAACATTGACAAAATAAAGTCCTCACACTAATCTATATACACCCAGATAAACAGAATAACAAACAAAGAATATAAATAAAACTAAACAAAAATGGCGTTCTCTGTTGGAAATGGATGGATAAATTAGTTCAATAATAGTTCAATTTCAATAGTTTCATATGCTGATAATCTTATTCGATAAATGTGCTGTACACTACACACAATTACATAGGTTTTTGAGTTTAGCAACTTTCGGTTCATCGTTACTTTTTCCATCCATTGCATTGCCGTCAATGAATAGCTACACATTATACTTCCACAATTGTTAGCGCCTTTGAGATCTTTTTAAAGGGCGCTTACAAATACATAATATTACATAACATTATTAGTCATATATCTCAAATCATACCAAAAGACCATATTCTCACATTTAATAAATATTGTTATGACCGCGGGAATGATCGAATTGCGCTAGATTATTTGTTATCGTAATCATTGGTATCTTTGCTATATTTATAATCTTTGAAAAGGTTGTAAAATTGTATCTATGCTAAAATCGTCTGTAAATACGTCCTACGTAGTGAGGTTTACAGTCAGGTTCGATACGAGGTCGTAAATGTGATTTATGTAGTTAGTAGTTACTTGGATCAGTTTATTGTTTCTATTGCTGTTCGTATTCAAATAAACGTTCAACAAAGTTTACATTTGAAGCAGTTGTGTTCATCTATCGGATATCTCAAACCTACGGATAAACGAACTCTTGACGATCGTTGGAGGCTACAACACCGGTGTTGGAAATATAGAGATCTTTGAAGATATAACATCGGTGTTGGTAGTTACGAGGTCAAGGGTTACAGCAATATATAAAATGCATAACAAATAACAAAATAAGAGTTAAAATAGTTAATAGCGAATTTCAACACGATGATTGTAATAAAAATCTCTGCTGATCATGAATATATCTGTGTGTCCACTGCCATGTCGAATTCGTTAACAGTTTCAATTTCAACATCAGCTAAGGGATGTTTGTTCTTTAGAGGCATTGACCTGTTTGAGAAATAGTATTTTTTGCATTTGATATACTTACAACGAGTTTGTATCGATATCCTCTGGTTAGTGTTCATAAATGAAAAAGATTTTTTATCTCTTACTCTGAAAGTTTTGAAAATTGTAACTAGGTTTCCACAAAATCGTTGGAACCTCAGGGAAGGAAGATTCAGTTTCTGCAACTTCTCGATATAATTTAATCTTCTGCACTCACCAACCAGTTTTTGGGCACGTTTTTGAACCAGACCTGGCTGGCCACGCTGCCACGGCGTTATTTGCCATATTGGTCTTCCATGGATTTTGCAGCTCCTCTCTTGAGTATTGTTAAATTATTATTATTATTCGAAAATTTGTATAGCGCTAATTACAAACAAAATGTTTCTCAAAAGCACTGTCTAAAAAAAACAGTTGAATTGCTACGATAAACCAAATCTTATAATGAAAACAAAAATGATTTCAATAATTTCTTGAACAATTTTTCTGTCAGTTCGGGCTGTCTTAGATAACTTGGTAGACTATTCCAAACGGCTGGTCCACATACTGAGAAACTTCTCTCAGCCTTTTTCAAGTTGGTTTGGGGCACACATAACAAGTTGCTATCATCAGACCTTAAGCAGACAGTTTTAAAAGACAGCTGTTTCGGTGCATGCATTTCTTTCAAATAAACTGGCGCCATTCCCTTCATACATTTGAACATGATTGTTGATATTTTGAACAAAATTCTTTTTTTGACCACCAACCAGTGCAGTTCTCTGAATATTGGAGTAACATGGTCAAACTTTTTGGCACCAACCACGATCTTAGCTGCCCGATTCTGAATTGACTGAAGCACAGATAACGATTTTTCAGGCAAACCATAAAATTTGAATAAACTTTGAATAACATCTTTGGTTAAGCTTTTGCGGATTATTTTTAATTTTCGCAGTTGTAGGGTTGCAGTACCAGATAAAAACTTGATATGTTCAGTCATTGCCAGTCTAGAATCAAAAATGACACCCAAGTTTGTAGCTTTGGGAATAAAGTTTATATTTGAGCTCTCAATGATAACTGAATTAATTTTAATTTTAGACAGCTGTTGCCAAGTTCCAACCAGAAGAATTTTCGTTTTACTTTGATTGAGCTTAAGACGATTATTTGCCATCCATTTCTCGATCTCGACCAAACATTTAACAAAACGATCAACTGCAAGATGAAAGTTGCTATAGGATTCCGTGGCGAAAAGCTGAATATCATCTGCAAATGCATGACACTCCAAACCATGTAATCCGATCGCCTCAATAATTTCAGAGATGTAAAGAATAAACAAGATCGGTCCGAGAACCGAGCCCTGTGGAACACCAAATCTTATCGTTTGAACCGAAGAGGTCTTATTCTTGTAGATTACCTGCTGAGTTCTGTTTGTTAAGTATGACCGAAACCATTGTTCGACAGAGCCAGTTATTCTAAATGAATGACACCTGCTTCAGACGTTTATTGAAAACATGTCTATGTTTACGGTGTTGCTGAAATTATTTAGAATAGCACGTTCCAGATTCGAGAAGATTAAAAAGAAAAAAATTTTATTTACTATAAAAAATTTAAATTTAGCATTGAAACGGGCTAGAATTGATTTCTTATTAAAAATATAAAATCATGTTAAAGTCACATCAAGGGCGTTATTCTCTTGTGATAGTTGGATGCTAAAATTCCCCTTTGGGTCAATTTTTAGTTTATATTTTTTATACATAATAAAAAAGATGAACCCGTTACGCTGTTTGTAAGAAATGGTCTCTAGGTATTGATTGCGTTGCGGTTGCGCTTATGTAAAAGAGCACCAAACCAGGAAGAGCAGTGAGCGGGAGAAGAAAAGAATAGTATCCGTTTGGATAGGCTGGACACGTGTTTCGTTCCTTACCGGGGACTCATCAACAGCCCGAAAACCTATCGGAATGGTTATTGCAGTTTCTTGTATAGCCCGCACAAATCACTTTCTTAGCTCGTGGTGTTTTTATTTATTTTTGAAGATTGTTAGTTTTAATCGTTAGGATTTGAAATCTAACAATAGCCACAAAAATTCCTACTATCAAGTAGTTAAATGAAAAAAGAATTACAATTTGAAAATAAGCAATGGACTATTTAAATTTTTCCATGGCATTTGAAATGGATTTTTGTTGTATATTAAAAAAGATTTCGATGGACTAGATGTATTGCATATATATATATATATATATATATATATATATATATATATATATATATATATATAAATAATTGTCAAAAGGTGTTGTCTTCATTTTCTAAAATGAAATTCTCAACAACAATAAAATTAGTCTTCATTTTTCTTCTTTTTCTTTCAAGACATTGGCGACCATCGACTTTTACAAAACCCAATCTTTAACGCTTTGTAGTAGTTGAAATGTGGTGATATTCAACAGGTGACACAAGGACTTCACGATGGTTATTCGTTTTTGACTGCGATCTCTTTTCCCTGCAATCTTTCCAGTAGATGTTAGATTTTCAATTCTTTCCTTCCGTATAATGTGACCAAAAACTTTAACTACCCCTCTTTTCATAACCGGAGTGTTTTTATACATCCTTATTCAAAGTATGAGAGGTCCAACTAAATTTCATAATTCTTCTCAAAAACCATATCTCAGGAGCATTAATCTTTCTTCCATTTCTTTAGAAATTGTTCAGAACCCTAGAGCCGTAAGTTAGCACAGGAAAAATGTATCACCCTAGCAGTTTTAATTTTGTTGATATTCTGATTTTACTGTTGTTGAGAATTTCATTTTAGAAAATGCATCCTTCGCCACAGCTTTTTTTTGATATCCACATCACATTTACAAACTGAGGTAATCAGACTTCAGAGATGATTGAAGCTGTTTACTTGTTTCACATGTTTACCATTAACGATTATGAGCAGATCAGGGCGGTTTTGCTTTTACTGATAGCCATGCACTCTGTTTTGTTTATGTTAATTTGCAAACCTTTTTTTTCACTTTCAAAAACCAGTTTGGAAACAATTGTTTGCAGTTTTTCCATTGAATCTGCTATAAGATCTGTATCATCACTCAGCATATCATACATTTTTAATATTTACGCCTCCAATAGACATTCCAAGTAGATCTCTTTTTCTCACGATGATCTCACTATAGAGATAGTACAGATCTGGAGAGAATACACAGCCTTGCCTAACACCTTTCTTTATTTCGACAAAACTAGTCATCTTGTTACCAACTTTCATTGCTGCTCTTTGTTCCCAATAGAGGTTTTTAATAACTCTTGTGTCTTTTCTATCAATGTCCAAATTTCCAATATTTTCATAAGCTCCACGTGTTCCACGCTATCAAAAGCTTAGGAGTAATTGACAAAACATATAAACAAGTCTTTCTTCATTTTAATTGCTCGTTCACTGACCATTCGTAGCATAAAGATTGCGTTTTTTGTGCCACAATCTACAAAACCACATTGGACATTTGAAATTTCAGATCTGATTTTGCTTCGTGCTCTCACCATCAGAATTCTCAAGATGACTCATCAAGCTGATTGTTCGATGTAGTTCACAATCCGTTGCAATAGGTTTTTTAGCCAATTTTCTAGTTTTCCAACTCCTTCGATCATTTTTGTTGCTCTACGCTGTACCCGTTCAAGTATGTCTTTGACCTTTTGCAGGTTTGGACTCCAAACCTGTGAACAGTACTCGAGATGAGGGCAAACTAATGTTTCATACAAGTTTATATTGATTAACTTCTCTCTGCTCACCACCTTTTTTCTAATGCATCCAAGTATTTGATTTGCTTTGGCTGCTGCCAAAGTACATTGTCTTGATGCTTTCGTGCTTTTATGAATAGGGATTTTTAAGTCCTTTTTTTCTTCTCTAGATCGCAGGTCCTTACTGCCCAGTTGATATTGGAAGCCTTTGTTCTTTCTTCCTATACGCATAACTTTACATTTGTCTATGTTAAAATAGCATTTGCCAATCTTCAGACCATTTGTAAAGTTATGCCAAATCTAGTCTTAGTACTTCCGCATCTTTTTCGTTGTTGACCTTTGCACACAGCTTCGTGTTGTCCGCAAATTTCGGTATCTTTGACATTATGCCGAAGTCGATATCATTAATGTAGATAACAAATGGTAGAGATCCCAGCACCGAACTTTGAGGAACTCCAAAACTGTGTTTTCTTCTTCCAGTACAGATCCAAAGTATTTATTATGTATTTCCGCCTTGGTCGTACTTTAGCGGTCCAACCATCATGTTCCTTTTTCGCTTGCTCTTCATGTAGTTGTTAAAGCTTTCGCTATCTCTTTTTGTGTTCTAACTAAGTTTAACTATGTATCTTTAATAGCCTTCTTGTTTGTTTTTTCTGCCACGTTTCTTTTTTTCACATATTGTTTTTTAGCTTCGTGTTTAAGATTTTTAGCGTTTTTTCCCAGTAAAGTAAGGTCTCTTTTACGTGTATTTTGTAGTTTTTGCCAGGCTTTATTTTTAGACATTCTAGCTTTCTTTACTTCTTTATTTACCCAAGAACACTTCTTGTTGTTTTTTTCTGTGGATTGGCATTCTTTTTTCCATAACCTCTTTCATACATGGCAAAAACAGCGTCCATTATTTTTGAACACTAAGGCCTGCCAGTCTATCTTTTAAATTTATATCTTTGATTTGCCTTCTGATTTTGTTGTAGTCCGCTTTGCAATAGTTGTATCTTCTTTTTTGTGATACTGTTTCGGTTTCATGTTCAACAACTGCTTCAAACCCTATTATCTGGTAATCACGAGCCAAATTTTTCTCTGACCTGTACACATTCAATCATGTCTTACTCTGTAAAGGTGACTAAGTCAAGGACATTGTTCTCCCTTGTTGGCTCTAGGACATGCTGTATGAGAAAATTTTCATCTATGCATTCTAGAAATAGAGCATCTGAAAGTGTTTTGCCTTGCTTTTTTCCTAATCTATATGATAGTTGAAATCTCCTAATATAATGCATGATCCTTTAGTAGCTCTTCCGATTAATTCATGGAGTCCTTTGTCATTTTCTTTACCAGAATCAGGAGTTCGATAGCAAATTCCAACCACCAGGATCTTGTTTTTGTTTCTTTCTTCACACCATACGTTTTCTTGGAATCTGTCGTCTCTCAAGTCCATTCTTTCCACACTGTTAGGTCGTCTTTTATATATATAGTAGTACTCTACTATCCTGTTCTCTTCCTCCATACTTATCTCTGTCCTTCCTGAACTTAATGTTACCATCTAATTCAAGTTCGCTGTCTTCCATGGAACTTTTTGCCCAGGTTTTTGTTATACCGATGATGTCAGGTTTTTCCTTGTATATATAAAACACAAGTTCTATTCTTTTATCTATGTTTACTACACTTGCGTTTGCATAGAAGCATTTCAACATTCTTGTAATTTTACCTTGCTCCCTTGATGTTTTTTTTGATCTTGTTTATTTAATGTTTTTTCATCTTTACTATCCTCATAGTTCCGGGTTGCCTCCTCACCCTGAATATCCAGTTCCCCGACTTTTCTGTACTTTGTTTTTCTTTGCATTGATTAACTAAATTTCTGCAGAGTTCCCTTTCTTGTAGTGTCATGTCGTGCGTCACAGAAAATTTTTTGAATTTATTTCCAGCTTGTCGAAGATAAGACAAATTTTACAGTAACATATTCTTTGTTTTTTTTTCTCTCGAAACTCCATTAATGACGGTCTTTCGATGTTAGTATCTCTACCTAGTCTAAATATTCGTTTGATATCCTTTTCTTCACAAGGTACTTCAAACACTTTGTTTATCAGTGCTAGTGTTATTTTCACCGTTCTTTTTCTCCCTTCAGTTGTAGGAGATTTAATCAATCGGTGAATTATCACATTGTTTTTTTTTTAATTTTTTTCTGATATTGTTTTTCATTTTTTAATTTTCATCTTTTTTTCTACTTTTTGACGTTTTCATTTAATGTTTTCATTTCTTTCTCAACCTTTTTGTTGACTATAGTACTCCACATTTTTTTTTATTTTTCTACTTTTTTGTTTGTTATTTCTTCCGCTGTCAATTTTATTTCCTGGAGCTTCTTCTCCATTTCGTCTAGTCGATTTTTCTGTTTGTCGTTTCTTTATAGTTCTATTTCCTTCTTCGGTTATTTTCTTTTCAGCTACCAATTCCATAACACGTTGTGTTAGTTCTTCAACGCGTTGTGATAGTTCTACCACGTCTTGTGAGATCTCGCTACTTCACTCATATAGCTTCTTGGAGGCTTCCGAATGCTAACCTTAACCAAGACTTGGCCAATTTTCTTGGAGTAAGAACTCTTTTTATTTTTCTCGCTTGTTGTCGAAGGGAAAATGTTCACGTCCACGTGTTGAGCGATAATTAGTGAGTTACTCACTTTACTTTAGTGTTTGATCGAGTTTGTTGACGAATTTTTTTGACAAAAATTGACCTCTATTTATCAAAAATATTTTTTTAATTTTAATTTTTTTTATTTAATGACAAACTGACCAGAGGGCCATAACAGACCACTTACCTAGTCAGGAAAAAAACAGCTTCCAAAAGAATAATCGCACGTCAATTAATTAAATCTAAAATACAAGATATTAACAAGCAGAAATCACCGCATAATAATACAAATAATGAATGAGACAACATAACAGTATTGAAAATAAATACGTAATAACTGTAAGATTACAATAGAATGTTATATGTTTATTTATGTAAAAGAAATTTTTAATACGAAACAAATAACACTGTGCGTGTAAGATAAAAAATTAAGTTATATGGCTATAATTAATTGGTAGATGACGATGGTAGCTCGGTGAAAATGTTAATCGACAAAATTGGATAAGCACATAAAACGAAAAGATAATAATTCTCAATGAGACAATATCAACTTTAAAAGTTAGATTATAGTCAAAAAATGTATTTAAGTCACTAGATAGTAGATGATTTCTTAAAATTCCAAGTGAAGTCGAGGAAACCACTTCTGCCGGCAAAGCGTTCCGTACCCGGACAATCCTGTTGCAGTAGAAATATTTTGTTGCATTGTCGCTAACATTGAAATCCTGCAATCGGCATTAATGACCACGAGTTGACAAATAACGTGAAGGTATAAAATGACTGGTTAGGGTTAGGGTTTTGTACAACAGGCACAGATCGAAAATTATTCTACGACTTTCGAGTGTTTGTAATCCAACTGGGTGTAATTTAGACAGATACGGAAGATGATATATCAACTGGATAGATTTGGTAAATCTTCTTTGAACACTTTCAATCTTGATCACTTGATACTTATAGTGCGGACACCATACTGGCGAGCAATATTCTACTAGTGGTCGTACATACGTGCAGAAAGCTTTCGTAAGTAGATTTTTATATCTGGAAATGAAACATCTGGTGATTAGGCGTGCACGAAAAAAAGCCCTGTGAGTGATGTCACTGATATGAAGATTGAAGTTAAATTTGTTGTCAACTATCACTCCTAGATCTTGGAATTCGTTTGTATACAGATTAGAAGTTGTTGGTCAATTGAATATTGATGCGGAATTAAGACAGATCTTGGTGATGGAAGAAAAAAGCAATGAGAACATTTGTTTGGAGAAAGTGGTAGTTGCCATTTGATACTCCAAGCAACTATGTCGTAATGACCTGTTGAAGATGAGCTGGGTTGGAAGAACGGCAATATAATTTTATATCATCAGCGAAAAGCAAAGTTGAAACCGTTTTTGAAGAGATGCACTCAATAATGTTGTTTTTAGTTGAAATGTAATCGAAATTTATAACATTTAAAAGATCTATGTATCTTTGGTTCTTCTACGTTTTTTTAATAGGAAGCTTTTCACCCCGGATATCATCAAAATGATCGTTAATATATTCAGTCCACCTTTAAAGTACTTTTTCTTTCTCTAAGACAGTGTTGTCCAACCTTTTTGTTCAGAGGGCCAGATTGACAATTTAGCTAGAATTTAGAAGTTGCGGGCCGGATTAAAAATTTGATAGCCAATTTTGCATTATTAACAATAAATAAAAGAGTAACACATAAAAATGGATACATATTTTTTTTATTACAAAATAAAAGTATATATGTAAATACATTAATGTCTAATTTTAGTGAGAAATTTGACATTGTTTGCGTTTATATAAGTACTCTATATCTGCTCCAACATTTGAAGTCGCTATACGCAATGAGGCTGTCAAACGTCCATCTTTAAGTAAAAACAGTTGTTCACAGCAATAAGTACTACCAAACAAAGCGATAAACTTCTTGGCATCTTCTGTCAAATTAGGATAACTTTCTGACGATATGTAACACTTGTAGAAAGTTAGCAAACCATGTTCCACAAAAGATCTCTTCAAATCATTGTTATTCTGAAGATCAATTAGCTCCATTTGGTATTTGTCAGCAGCCTCAGTGGGGTCAACATTAAATGGGTTACTTGGCAATTTCATAAAGTCATTGTGCTTTTTAAAACCCTGGAACCTTTGCTGGAAACCATCGATCAGTTTGACAAGTAGTTCATTGTACTTTTCATGCTGCACTGTGTCCACAAATCTTGTGGAAAGTATTGCACAATGTGTTACTTTTTTCTGAACCATCTGTTTCTGAACTAACTTTAACTTTTCAATAAAAGTTCATACAATCTGTGCACAAGTTGGTACTTTCCTTGAAGTCTAACATTCAATTCAGCCATACATTTTGTCATATCAATCAAAAATGCCAAATCATTCAACCAGAAGTTGTCATCCAAAAACGCTACCTCCTTTTCTTTGTTAACCATGAATGTCTTTATTTCATGACGTAAACTCCAGAATCCGGATAGCGTGGTTGACTTGCTTAGCCACCGAACTTGGCAAAAGTATACAACATCATCATAATCTGAGCCCACTTTTTCAAGAAATGATTTGAACTCCCTGTGGTTAAGACCTCTAGATCTGATAAAGTTTACAGCTGACAATCTTTTTCTTTACATGCTTCATGTCAAGGGTCTTTGCACACAAGTTTTCTTGGTGAATAATACAGTGGTATGTAATGATATCCCGAGGCACTGATTGTGCTAACAAAGTTACAAATCCACTCTTCTTTCCTATCATACTTGGCGCCCCATCTGTTGTTACACCGGCAAGTTTGTTTTTGAAAAGCTGAAATTTTTCCATTGCCAGAATAACTTGTTCAAAAATATTCTTTCCAGTTGTTGTGCTCTTCATTGAGCACATGTCCAACAGTTCCTCACGTTTGATATACGTTTGATAAACGTTTGATATAAAACGTTTTCGTAACTCCTCTAACAAATATTGCTAGTTGAGCAGTGTCACTGATATCTGTGCTCTCATCAACTGACAAACTGTAATATTCACAATCGTTAAGTCGCCTGACCAAGGTATCTTCAATATTTTTCGCCACATCGTCAACTCTTCTACCAATAGTTTGATGAGAAAGACTCACGTTTTCCACCAAAGACTTTTTTCTTGGGCAAACAACATATGTAAATATCTCTAAGCAGTTTTTCACCAGTTCTCCATCAGAAAATGGTTTTCCTCTCTTGGCTATAGCTTCTGCAATTAAATAACTAACTTTTGTTGCTGGTTGCCAATTTTAAACAATGACTGTTGAGCAACAATTTCCTGTTTCATCGAGTTGATGCGATCAGTTCGTGTTTGGCCCACCACACTATCAAATTTACTGCTATGTTTAGATTTAGAATTAGAGCAGAAATGTCGCTTGAAGTTATATTCCTTGTGAAAGGCAATTGTTTCTTGACAAACGAGGCACAAAATAACATCGGCTTGCTGCACAACAAAATAACTTTCTGTCCACGAATTTTTAAAAATACGATTTTCAGAATCAATTTTACGTTTTTTATCGACGTACGCCATTAATATCGTCTGCTAGTTACGTTTTATTTACGTTGTCCTTTGCGTTGTCAAGGAAACTATTTTTTTAAATGAATCGCGGTCGTAGCGCATTATTATTAATTAATGTTTTTATTAATACAAGAGTTTAAATTAAAAATTATTTTTAAAAAGTTTAAAATTTACATCTAACCAACTCAATAAAAATACTTTAAATTTTATATTTTGAATATTTTTCTAAGAAGACCGGCGGGCCGGATGAAAACCTTTGGCGAACCGGATTCTGGCCCGCGGGCCGCTGGTTGGACAAGCCTGCTCTAAGATTACTTCCCTGGATTTAGCTTTTATGCATCCAGAAACGTTACGAGCCCCTTTTCCAGTGATTTCTTTGATGTTTTTATACATTCCATTTGTATTACTGTTTTTGATCTATTCAATGATTTCGCACTTGCCATTTAATCATTTCTCCTTTGCCTCTAAATCTTAGAGTCAAAGCACATTTTTTTGATTGTTTTGTCCAGCTTTTTGGAAAAGGTGTTATACAAATGTAAAATTTGTTCGTTTGTTTGTTTAATTGATTGTTTAACGGCGTTTGAGCACATCATTTTTACATTTGACATTAAAAATTTCAATTATTAGTGGTTATAATAAAAATTAATAATTAATAAAAATTTGACATTAACAATTAATAGTTTGCGCACCACAATTGAAAGTATACATATACACATCGTTTTCATTTGACATACATAATATATAGAATATATGATATATATGCCATATATAAAATGTATGAATATAAAAGAAAAATGAAAACAATGGATTCCTACTTTTTCTTTGTATAACTGCGCACGAAAAGAGCTTTAAAAAATAATTTTAATTGATTGTGTTGTAAGGGCATTATAGAGACGATGTGGTGGCCAAACATCAGGAATTTTGACCCGTCAATCCTGACGGACGTGGTGAAGAGAAAGTTGTGCGAGTACATCTTGAAGAGGATTGGCTGTGATTTTCTGAAGGAGAAGACCATCAACATGGATCAGCTGACGGTGGAAATGTACAATGGCCGAGCTTCGTTGAGCAATTTAGAACTGGATGTTGTAGTTAGTAAATCAAACGCGTAATGTTAAGTTTATTAAATTAAAGTATTTAAAACTGAATCATTCCTTTTAGTAGCTTTTTTAATTTGTAGTTTTGTATAAGATACCTTACTGTTACTCTTACTTACACCCTACTACTTATACTGAACCCTACTTAAAAAAATAAACTACTAAAAAAGTATTTCCTAATTTTCTTTGTCTTTTGTGAATTCATCATTCTTATGATTTTATATTAAAAAAATCTTGCATGTTTCTTTTATTTATTAAAGACAACCAGTGGCTGATTAACTTGGAAAACTGAATGCCCCTCTTAGTTTTTTAGTTTCTTTCTACAAACAAATCATATTTATGTTTTCAGTTTTCTAGGCTTAAATTTAAATAATAATAACAAAAAATTGTGGTTGGGCGTCATTAGCAGATTCACAAAAATAATTATTGTTTTCCCCTAGCATATGGTGTGTATTCTGATGTCCATGCCAATGAAACCTTAAAACCTTACCATGCCACACTTTTAATTTGTAATTTTTAAATGTCATCATTTTATGTAAAAATGATATTTTAATAAATATCATTACTTTTTGTTTAAAAAAAATGTTATAAACATGTGAATGTTTTATTTACACATAACTTTAAGAAAAAAATTGAAAACAGAATATCAAATTATGAAAATAGATAATTGTGGAACAAAACAGAAAAATTAGGTGTTATAATTTTAAACTGGGTAATAATGTGAAATAAGTTCCAGAGCATTCTGGAACTGTTCTTTGTGATCTGTAATGGTACACTGCCACATAAATTCATCAAGGTATGATGATATGTGGGCATCGGTGACTAGACAATTGGGTAATGGTCAATTGGGTAATTGACAATTGTGTAATTGAGTAATTGACAAAAAATTTTTTAGATATTATTAAATATATTTAAATATTTTTTTTACTTAAATTTATCTAAGTTTTTTTGGTTGGCGATTTTTTCATGCTATCTAAATCGGCTAAGACATGTTCAGACAGAACTACAAATTCATAAAATTAGTTATATGCATCTAACAATTCAGCATTTAATAAAAGCCTACAAAGAAGTGATAGATGTTTGATAGTGTTGGATGCTTCCTCGCCTTGGAGCATCATGTTTGCAGTGTCTGGTGCTCTGCTTCAAGCTAGGCAGATGATGAAGGTGGTGTATTGATTATAAATGTAGCTCTCCAGAAAACAGATATTTGTTTATCCATCAAAAATATTTAGAAGAATGTAGAGTGTCCTGAAACTAGCAATTGCACAAAATCAATAATCACAGTTGATAAAATGTTTAGTAAATTAGAAGAAAATATATGAACATATTCCAATTTATTTTCAAAAATCATCTACCATTAACGATGATCCTCAAGCCTTCTTACTTTTTGACAATTCTTTAATTTATTGCATAAAATGGAAAATAGCACGAAACATATTTCTAGAAGACGAAAATAAAAAAATTGATGACTACTGCAAAATAAAACCATCAGTAAATTAAATGAAATATATATGATATTAGACAACAACAACACACGTTTAGACGACATTTTCCCCGAGATCGGGGGTTGCCGTTTGGCTACCTATGATGAAACCATTGTCACTTCTGTCATCATAAGTAATTTATTTGGCTAATTTTTACGCAGGACGCCCTTCCTTACGCAACCACAGTTATAAGCGGTGGGCCTAGCCTTTGATGATCCAACATCATTCACAAGGCAGTGAGGGTCAGTTTAATGTCATAACCAGGACAGTTATATGATATTAGATAAACCACAATTTTATTTTGCCACAATTGATTTTTTAAGATATTCAAAATTGATAGGAAAAACAGCTTATTAATACGAAATTATGCATTACTAACAAAAATTATTTATAAGCTAAAAAAATTGTAAATTAATTGCTTTAAATGACCTAACACTGAACTATGTAGTTCAGTAAATATCTCTGAAAGAGATGTTAAAATAATAACTAATTGTAACCGATTTTACAATTTAATTTATAATGACGTTTATTTAAATAAAGATTTTTACTTGTCTAATCGTACTTCCAACTATTTTACCATACCGGTTTACTTAATTCATTGTTGCACAACAAATCTGATTGCTCAGTCAATTTTTCTCTCTAGAATTGTAGAAGTTTTTTTGCATGCAACATCTAAACTTGTAAATAAATTCCATTTAACAATAGTGAATGCAAGCAAGATGTGGCTAAAATGCTAATGAAATTTATACATTACAGGAAGTTTTTTCCAATTACAATTTGTTATTAAACAAAACAAGACTGCTAAGAAGGAACCTCTTTATGGTGTTTTATTAATTAACACTGTGATTATAAAGTCTTGGCGAGTTTATTTTATATTTTTGCTTGTTTTTTAGGACAAATAAAATGATTAGAAGTTATAAAAATTGTGACAAAAAATGAAAAAATGAAATAAACAAAAAATTTAAGTGATCAAATGACCGAAATTTAGTTACTTTGTCAACAGTAATTTACAAAAAAAAATAAATTCAATTTTAAAAGTTATTCTTCAATAGTATTCAAGTTATTATGCATTTTTATATATTGAAAGAATTCAACATTTTTTTATGGTATATGTGTAAAAATGCAAACATCTCAGAAAGAATAGGTTGTAGCTAAATAATGTTGATGGTAACATTTGAAGGGAATGAACAGATGAATCAAACGAGACCAGAATCATGTTTCTAGTATGAATCGGTTTCATTTTACAAGCAAATGATGTATTTTTCCTAATTTTTTCAATATTTCAACCTTGATGAGGCAAGGGTTAGCATCATCCAACTGAGCTAAAATTTTACAAATGTCATTTTTTAGCTAAATGGCACAATTTATTTTTTAGCTAAGTGGCGTAATTTAGGGGGTTTCCCCAGTTAATTTTTTGCAAAAAGTTTTTCACCTTTATCGTTGTAACTAACCTACCACATTTAAGCGGTCCATGTAAATCTGTTAACTTTGACATGTTCAATGCAACATTGACAAGATGTTAATTGAATTTGATAGACGATTCACTCACTGAAAATATTGATGTTCTTGGAGTTTGGCCAACTTTTTTAATCCACATGGTCGAGAGATTTCCTAATGAAAAACTTAATTTTCACTTCCACTTTATATTATTTCCTTCATATAAATATCTTTGTTTTGTGAGATTGATTAGATTTTTAAAATATAAAAAATTGCTAGCTTTGAATAATTTTTGTTTACTTTTAATTTCATGGAATTGACAAAAACATAAGAGTTTTTTAGCTGCTCATTCAAACGAATATTTTTTTTAAAATTTTTGTTTTTTTGATATTTTGGAAGGAGGTTGAACAATTAATATAAGAGCTAAGATAGTTAATTTAATAGCTAGAACCAAGTTGTTTTTGAATGGTTTTTAATTTGATTGATAATTTAATTTTTTTTTGTGAAAAGATTTTTAGAATTAAATTTATCAAAATACATTTGTCTAGAATATTAATGATATTCTGACAAAAAATGGCCTGCCAATAGAAGTTGTTGAATGTTATGTCGGATGTATCTCGGTGTCAATACCTTGGCGTAGCATCTTTTCGGAGAGTTCTATCGTTGAAGTTGAAAATGTTGAGGTAACGATCAGACATGCTGGCAGGGTGGAATCTGAGCGTAAGTACACAACATTTTTTTGTCATTTGTAATGTTGGCACTTTACTATTTATAACGTTGTACCACAAAATTTATGCACAGACAATCTAATTGACTCAATGCTTTTCACGAGCATGTCAACCAGCATGAAACTGGCAGAGGAATGTTTGAAGAAGGACACAGCTAGTGGCAACAAGTTGAACCAGAACAATCCTTTTGAAGGTGTCCAGGATCTTGCTTGTACTGTTGAGACAAGTTCTGTTATATTTGTTTTTTTTATTTATCCAATTCTTGACAAAATTTTTTTTGTTAAAAGTATTTTCCAAGGTCAAAGCAAATATGAAAAACACCACGATCTATTATGAGCATACCGATGAAGAGAGAAACATAATGGTCACTTTGGAGTTACGAATAGACAGGTTACAGTTTCTACAATTTTATGCTCTATCAAATTATATGGACCCAGTTATTTGCATGTTTTATGTTAAGATGCTATCATCATTTAATTGAACATGTTATTTTGAGATATTCTACCTTGCAACTTGTGCTTTTCAGCATGCAAATTTTACGCTGTGTCCAGTTTATTCTCCAACTTCTTTCTCTCCAGTGTCTCAAATGGTTACATTTCAATTTGTTTACTTCCTCTGACTAGGAGACATCTAATCTTGCTTCATGTTTTTAAATTCGTTTGCTTCATTTTTTATCTTTCAAGTTGCTGCATACCCTAACCCTGCCCTCATTCAGCTCCTATGCAACTTCATAGCTTCTAATGCATGCCAGAGCTTTTTCATTTCTAAATCCAACTTTCATCTGCTATTTACATTTGTTGCTGCTTAATTTTTAATGTTTTGCAAGTTTATGAGTTCAGTATTTCGCAGTGAGTGCATGTGGCAGAATTATCAATATATTCCTTCTGAATATGAAACAGGATTGAATATAAAGATGAGTCAGGAAACGGTGAGAGATCTGATGCATCCAGCAACGAAAATTACAACAGCTCAAATGAACCTCTCAGTGGAACCGGCAGTTCTGGTAAAGGAAATAACAAGAGTGGGAATGGGTTTCATTCAACGCCAGCTGAAGAGAAGGATGACGTATCCAAAAAACGTAATATGTCATCTAAAAGTGATGGGAACTCAAGCACCAAAACAAAATCTGGTCACATGACGCTGATCAGAATAAAAAATTTTATTCTGACAGGCATTAGACTGTATTACTGCGAGACTCCTATTGTTAAACAACTTGAAAGGGTTAATTTTATTGTCTTACTCAAGTAATTATTTCAAGATTTTTAAGTTTTTCTGTTGATTTCCAGTCAACCCATGAAGACTGGAGCAAACACAAAAATGACTATTCCTCTTCCCTGATCATGATGATGGCTGGAACTCAAGAGTTCAAGGTTCAGTTCATTCAAGATTCATCCAAATTTGGACCCGAGGTATTTCATCCAACTGTATTTTGTTGCTACTTATGACTTATGCTATTTGTTGCCATGTGTCATATGACTAGATCATGCTTCATAAAACAATTATGTCAATTTGTTAACTAAGGAAATTATTACAATATTTCGTTTTTCTAAGCAATAAATTTGCAAAAATTAACTTTTTTTTGTTTTTTTTTTGACTGTGCCATATAAAACTTGCTTAAGATTTAGAGCTGGTAGATGATTATGGTGATATATATTTATAAGGAATATATGTACAAGAATATATATGTATATACATACATACACATATAGGGTGATAGGGTATATATACAATATAGCGTCATTGAATTGTAGAAATGTATGCTATATAGATTGATTGATTGATTGATTGATTGGTTGGTTGGCTGGCTGGTTGGTTGGTTGGTTGATTGATTGGCTGGTTGATTGATATGTTGATTGATTGATTAAGATGATAATAATAGCAACAATGATGAATATTTACGACAAACAGATTCAAGTAGAAAGCAGATTGGGCAACCTTCACCTTGTCTTATGCCCTGGCATCCTTAGTACCATCACCAACATTCTCGATAAAATCAACGAAACGCGTTAGTTATTTTAATAAACATCCATCTTCTTGTGAATACATGTGATCATTTGGCTAAAAACAAAGTCAAAATATTATGGTTCTATGAAAAAGTAGTTTGTAAATGTTGATGTGCTCTTGATTTGATTTTGCAGCCAAGAGACAGAAGCGTTCTGGGCCACAAAGTATGAAGATTGTTGCTGAAGAATATGAAAAAATCAGTAAAGGGTGGGAAAAACCGATTGTAAGAAATGTTGGAGGACTTGGAAAACAAACATTTGGTATACTGTTTTTCATCTTGTTGGTTAAATAACTGGTTTTCTTGATTGATCCTTTTGGGGATTGAAGCATCGTTTGGTTGATTGGTTTGATTGATTGTTTGTTGAATATATTTTTATTACCTGGGTCATTAGTTGATTGAATGGTTGATTCTGTTGAGTTGCTGATTGATAAGTCAGTTGAATGGAATCTACTTAACAATCCATTGTCTGTTTCTTAACTGTTGTCGACCAATGGATATATCAAGCTGATGAACATGATGAAGATTCACAGAGAAGTTATACTGATCTATCTTTTGTATGATTGTTTGGATTTCAAAAGAAGTGCTCGAAAGCCTTTGAGGACCCTGCTAGTCACCATGAATATCTAGACCATGCCATAGTCTTGAAAAAAGAACTGCATTGCACCTGTAACAAATTTATGTAAAGTTTCCTTTTATTCTTAGCAAAATTTTTTCGCGTTGCTTTCATGAGTAGCAAATGTTGGCACAAGGAGTGTTGTGCATCAGTGACAATTTGAAATTTCGTGACACGTCTGCCGATTGTTAGGTGACTGGCGTGTTAGTTAGACACAGATCAGAATGAGAGAGTCATTAGCAGTCTGCTGTTTTGAATGTGGTTGTTTTAGCTGCTTTTCTTTATTTTTTCTGCACCGAATTTTTTTTTGAGTTGGTCTCATTCAGTTGCTAATCTTGAAATTAGATATATTTATTGTAAATTGTATTAAGTTTTTTGTGGGTTTTATTTATTGGGTTTCCACTGTACATTTTTCATTCTAATCTGACAATACTTTGGAAGACAAATGAGAAAGAGTTTACTTAATGTTTTATTTAAAATTTTTTTCAGAACAATCAGATGAAGAAGAATTCAAAAGTTTGTGTTTCACTTCATTCAGTAGCAAGTCTAAATGGAACAATACTGACGACGATGACTCTTCTGAATACCTCAGCAATTCAGGCTTTTTTAGCATGAAAAATTCTTGCGCCAGTTCAGCCTCAGGTTAAAGTTTCTCCTTAAAGTGTTTAGTTTCAATATATTTTGTATCCCAATTCATTAAATTTTCTCATTGTAATCGCTAGACTACCAGCTTAGTTTAAATTGTTTAATTTTTGTTCTATTTTAGGTTCATCCGTTTTCAATCAACATTCAGCCAGTCGCAAAAGTGATGATTTTTTTTCAACTTCTTTAATTAAAAAATCGGCGTTTTTTGATATATATTAATTAATAAGTACTAGTGCCTAATTTTGATTATTGATTTTTAGTTCATGTTAATTGTTACAACATGTAAATTAATAAATTCATGCATCGAAATTGTACACATATGCATGTCCTACTAACCTAATATATATTTCTTAGTAACTCATATATATAACATATGGTATTGTTTGTTGGCGTTGAATAAAAATTTAAACTGGTGATCTAATGGACTTGTTTTAATGCAGATGACCAGCAACAAACTGGGAATGAAGTTTTTGCATCAACCAGCATTAACGTTGAACTGAACTTGCTGTCTGTTGTTATTTTGCATGAGAATCCCGGCCATGCACAGCAACAGGCAACAACAAAAACTCACCGAACATCTACATTCGATATTGATTGTCTGCACTCTTTCTCTGATGGGTATTTTCATGCTGTTTCTGGTTTATCTCTGAAGAACATGAACGATGTCGTGGACATTATGAAGGTCAGGCAGGAGTTTTCGAAGATTGTTGCCCAAGACCATCTTTGGTTCGTGCTTCTTCGATTGTTTCTTTTATTGCACACATTAATTATAGTGACATTAAGGCAAAGGGGGGAGGGGTGTATCTCACAAGTCTGACATTTATGTTGACGACGTTCCTATTGGGCTTTATTTATTAATGATCATTATCCATATCTGTGTCGAGAGCAGTAACATTTTTAGTAATTGAACTTTTGGTATTTTTTACAAATAATATTTTTGACCAGAAAATGTTATTTTAGCGATATTTGGAAATGATTACTTTGGGTATTTTTTATCATGAAGAAAAACAAACTTCTCTTTCAGTACCGAAGGATTGATATAGTTGATGTGAGGATGAGACTTTAATTGCATAATGTTGAAAAAACTGGATTTGTTTAATCAGTTGCTAACCTTTTATTATTTACATAAATTTTTTTTAAAGTTTATTGTGCAGCGTGGGTGAATTCAAGACGTCGAGACAAAATATCGAAAAGAGCTTCACAATCTCCGTCAGCTTTGGTGCTTTTGATTTTGTTGAAGCCATATTTGGGCGACCCGACGTTATCGATGAGGCGCCTGGACATGCAAATGAAGTTTTCAATTTGAACTTCTTCAACCTGCCTGATTATACAGAGGTTGGTTAGCTTCTTACGCTCTGCAGTTCATTATTATTGTTATTTTTATTTCAATAAACTCTTAATTAGTTCTTTCTTTATTAATATAATTTTTCTTATTTCTAATTTTAGATTTTCTAATTACTTTTTCCTAGAATATTGAAATAACGTTTACATAAATTTTATCGTATCGCATCGTCAAGTTGTTGGTGTTTGAAAGGTCGTCGAAGGCACCAATGACCAGAGTACCGAAGAGAGGTATCTCCAAGGTTGATCCTGTTGTTTCAATCAAAATGGAAGTCGTTCACAGGAAAAAGGTTGTCGTTGTGTTTGTTGCTGTTGTATTTGTTGTTGTTGTTGTAGTTGTTGCTGTTGTTGTTTTTGAGAGTTTGATGTGATGATAGTGATGGTGGTTTGAACAAATAGAGGATTAGTTATTTTCATGAAATGCAACACCTCACACAATGGAGTATATTTGCAGTATCACAGTGTGTCCAAGGTGAAGCAGTCGAGCATCATGATGACTGTCAAGTTATCAGAATGTCACTCCGAAGTTGACGTCACTATTTTGGATAGACTTCGTTCACTGACGACGTCATTATCAGCATCGAACAAACAGACACCTCGCAAAAACAGCAATGTACCTATGGATCAGGTATGTAAAGTATTGTAGAATGTCTGCTTGGTCAAATGGGTTGGTATTGTGGATAATTTACAGTATAAATTAATGATTTGAATGAAACCATGGTTTGTTAATTTTAAAATGCTTCACTTAATTTGACATTTCGTTTAATTGCTCTCTCATCAAACGTTGCAATGTTTGTAGTTTTTACTGGCACTGTTCTTCACTTTCTTAAATGATAAGTATATTAAATATATATATATGAAATAAATGAAATGAATTAATATTATTAAATATCACATTTTTTGTTTTACTAACTTAATAAAAAAATTTCATTCATTTCACAAAATTTTGTTGTAAAGCTAGCCAAACCAAAAATAGATATTTAATAAAATTAATTCATTTCATGATATTTCCATACTTTCAGTAAAATAATACTGACCTATTATTTATACCTATACTAGTCGGTAAGTGGAATGTTGTTATCATGTGACGACCTCTCCTTCATGCAAGGCAACCAAGCAAGCATTGATGTTGCTGCATCACTCTGGTCCTTAAAATTAAGGTTCTTCAGTTCTTTCTGCTGTCTATTTAGCTTTTCTATCATATTAAATGTACGTTTAATACAATTTGATTTCTAGATTTCCCAAATTAGACTTGACATTTTGTGATAAGAATAAAAGGAAAGCAATGGGAAGCGAGAGGAGGCTTCATGAGGAATATTTATTGATCGATCTGGTTGAGCCCAAGTTGAAAGCAGCATCCAGTAGTGAGCAGGTTTTCGTAGACCTCGTCACAATGACTGGCATTGGTTCGTTTATTTTAGTGCTTTCACAGACCATATAATTTTCATTAAGTGATTTCTTACTGTTATTATGATACGATAATAATTTCATGATGTTTCGACACTTTCACTAAAATCTGAAATGATACTGACTCATTTTTTATCTCAATTAGCAATGTTAAATATCAATAAATTTTTTGCAAGTAACAATTAATTTAACAATAATATTTATTATTATTAATGTATTGAATGAAATTTTAAAGTCCCACTTTTGTAGGATGTTGTACATCTTGAAAGCATCAATCATTTTTATAAAATTTTTCGTAACCAACTAATAACAGCTACATCTCTTTGCTTTATTTTATGATCATTATTTATAACTGTTAACCGTTCAATTGATTGAATGGTTCACTTTCTGATTTAGGACTTTTTGCTGATTGAGTTAATGTTTTAAAAATGAATGATATCCTTTTGCGCCTCTTTCATCTGACGGCTGTTGAGTTGGTGAAATCCTTAAATTGGATCTCTCCAATTTTACAGTAAAAATTTCAACTACTTTTCAATGGAAGTTTTAAAGGGTATTTTAAAATGATAGAATAATTGTGTGACTCATGTCAACTATTTGTTGGTTGTTCAAATGAAGGTTTTTATTTTAAAATAAGATAAATAAAATAATAAATAAAAATTATTCAGCCTCTCTGGTGCAGAACAACACGAAGCATACTCTTTTGAAAATAAGCAGTGATTCGACTTTGGAGGAACAAAGGGAAGGGTTTAACCTGCCGAGGTTTGTGTTGCGGCTGTTTTTATTCATTTTTATCTTACACAGAAAAAGCTTTTTTTGGTAATCCTTTACAATTTTTAACGATGATAAAAAATATGATGCGAATTATTGAAGAATTGAGCCAGAAACTGATCAAAGCTGAAAATGCAGTGATATTTCTTAACAATTGCATCTACAACAGTTTTAAACATAATTATATGTATATATACACACATATATATATGCATACACACACACACACACACACACACACACACACACACACACACACACACACATATATATATATATATATATATATATATATATATATATATATATATGGATGAGAGTTTCCGACCTGCTCCCGCAAGTACAGTTGGCCAGTACGAGTACATAAAGTACACCATCTCAGCTCGACCCAAAGGTGCATTACTGTGAACACTTAACTCGTTCTAGGCTAGACGCGTTTCGTTCCTTATGGGATTCATCATTAGTCCAAGTTTAAACACCAACTTAGTGCAATTACTATCGACATTACTCAGGCGAATAAAGGAAACAGTTAGTCGACTTGAATCTACAAATACGAGGTGAGAGCTGGTATACTTGATGTTCTCGTGCTGGCCAACCGTACTTGCAGGAGCAGGTCGGAAATTCTCACCCTTCATATACTTACTTACTTGTGAATTCAAGTCGACTCAGCCATTGTAGATCGAAGCCGTTTTTTTTTTACAATTTTAAGCTTACTGAAAGCTCGTTCTGCAGGTGTACTGGATATTGCAAGAGTAGTAAATATTTTGCATAACATCATTAGTAAGATATCCAGATAACTGAGAGCCAATAGCATTTAGATCAAATCTGCAACAACTGATGATCGGTTTTGCTTATTCCAAGCAAATTGTTGTGTGAAGGTTTGTCAACATCGTGAATATAAACGTTTGTTGGTTAATCTATTCACAAACGAACGGAAACTTGTGTACCAACGTGATGTAATGGTAATACACTATCAACAATGTATTCCATTACCTCTAACGTTGTTTTTGTTACTGGCTGACCAATAACTAATTTTTACTGCTTCGAACTATTAGCTGTGATGGATTCGTCATTAGTTTCCTCATCTGAAATTGCAGTGGAATGTATTCTTTTTCTACATTTGTTAATACGAAGCGTATCACAAACTCATTATTATTAAGTAGGGAAGTAATTGTAGATGTAAGATTAATGTTAGCAGCTGTAGAAGATCAGTAGTTCGGAAGGCTTATTCGTCCTGTAGATGTAGTTTGACAGATGGATGATTGAGACACGGATTGAGATATGATTTGACAATATGTTTTTCTAAGATGCGTGAAAAGATTGGTGTAATGTATGTTCGGCGATAGCCGATGGGTGAGGCTGGATGATTGATTTTAGATAAAAGATGAATAGTGCTCTGCATCTATTGGTTGGGGATTAATGAGTGGGTCAGGCAGATATTATAGATGATTGAGAGTTGATGACAGATAAATGGAGCTGTAAGTTGCAAGTACCAGGGTGGGAGGCCACCGGGACCAGTGCCAGATGGACAGGCTTTTGTGAGGATTACTATCAATATCCATTACAACAATCTTTTCATGGGTGCAAGTAGATCATCCACAACTTCACATCATCCCTTCATTACTGAATCCTTCAACAGCCACTTCGCCACCACGTCAACGAACTTATATCAATAAACTGTTGATATCATATCAATAAACTGTTGATAATATATCAATAAACTTTTGATATCATATCAATAAACAGACGTTGTGGATGATTTACTTGCACCCCTGGTTCTGTTTATTTGCTTATTTAATAATAATAATTATTAAAAAAGAAACGAATGACGATGGCGATTGATAATAGAAGGATCGGTGAAATATAAGGATATATATCAGTTCAGCAAACGTGCAATCATTATAAAACTGATTTATTATCGAGTTAATTGAAAAAATTTGAAAATAAAGCGGATTATCCGAAGCAACACGAAATAATCGCACAATCGGAAAAAAAAAATATATATATATATGTGTGTGTGTGTGTCCGTGCGTGTGTGTGCGCGTGCTTAATAATATATATATAATGCAATTAATATCTGTATTGCATCTAAAGATCGCTCCTTTTTACACATCTCTTTCATGACTGTTTGTATTCTTATAATTAGCACTATATATTAATAATAATATACTCTCATATGTGAATATAAAACCACCGGCAGATTTGAGGTGAGGAGAACAAATTTCGCGGCCAACAGCACGCTTCTCGTCGAGAGTGACAACAAAGTTTTGGACTCGAGATTGCTGGGGTCCATGGGGCCCTCCTACTACTGCGGCGTCCAAGATGTCGACCAGGCCCCTTTCTCATCAGTCAAGCACTACTTTGACACCGAAGAGGTGGGTGCCATTCCATTCTAATCATCATCGTCATCATCACCATCAATTCACTCTTATGCTGTCCTCAGAGGTGACGCAACAAATCTTAACAAATTCTTTTCAATTGACCAACTCAACATTTGAGGGCAAGTACGCAAGAAACGTATTGTCGCAATAAAATAAATAAGCAGAACGCTTCAAGCAAATAATACCAGCATATCCGTATAAATATATATATATATATATATATATATAAATATAAATATATATATATATATAATATGCTGGGAGATAATATGCCGTCATTTATACATTACTTGATAAAATCTACCAAATTTTTAGCGTTTCATAATTCATTACCACATCTTCCACATCCACCAACAACGCAACAGCACAACATAAACCACATCAACAAAACAAACAGCTTGTCTACTCAGGCGACAGAAAGGACATGTTATATTTTAAAGATGTAGTCAGCGATAAAACGAAATTGCTTGTAGACATAAACGTGCCACTTGTCCAAATTTTCATCAACACCAAAAACACACTGGAGCTGTTGTACAACAGGTTCACCAATCTTCACTGTATATCGTTACCTTCCATTTGATCATGTTACTATATTCTTCGCTGTATGCATATCATTACCTTTCCGAGATTTGTGCCATTTAAGATATACTTTTTAAAGTTTATTTCAAAATGTTGCCTTTGTTCATTACCCAACGTATTGACTGTTGCTTTTGTTGATTATATAATGGATTAATTGATCAGTCAATTAATAAAACCGTTGGTTTTATGCTCAGTTGGTTGATTGACTGGCTGAATGATTGGTTGCATGACTAATTGATTGACAGGTTTTTAAGTGATTTGGCTCTTTGGCAGCCTGAACCAGAATCGCCAACATCATCTCCAGTGGTATTGCATGACAGCTGCACTAACAATTGGGCGACNTACAGTCTCATCAACCCATACAACACCACCTACGACTTTTCTGGAGACCAGTTCAACAATACAGGTTGTTGTGTNGTCGTCGGGATAGCCTCAACCTGGATGGATGGATGGATAGATGGTTGTCCTATGGATGGATTGAAAATGTAAAGATGGATGGGCTCTTGTTTGATAGATAATGAATGGATATAGGAATTATGAATAAATCAAGGATGAATTGATTTGTAGATTAATAAGTTTATAGTTTATATTTTTCAATGTTACATCAGTCCTCAATCTTATTTGGTGTTTATCCAACTTTAAGATTCAAGTTCAGAATCAGAGGGGGAGCGCAATGAAGGTTTCAAAAGGCCAACAAAAATAAACGATGAAACCATTTTGTGCTTATCTGTGGCATTCAAAAAAGCTCAACTCGTTGCCTATTGTGCAGTTGGTAGTTGTTGGTGGTTGTTTTTTGTCGTTACTGGTTGGTGTTGGTGGTTTGTCGGTTGTTTGTTGTAGCTGGTTTTTGTTGTATGATGCAATTTGGAATGGTTGAGAGAAAATTGGTAAAGTATGTAACAAAAATTAAAGTTAATTGCGTCTTAATAGCTAGTGATCTCTATAGCACTGTTTCCACTTTTTTAAAGATATTCTCGAAGCTTATCTTGTTAGTTACTTGTTATTTTGAAATTGTGGCAACAGGATGCCAGGCCAGCATCACCAGCTGCTCCCTCGACGACCTCCTCCACTCAAACATCTAATTTGAAACAAGTTGGAAAAGTCTACATTGACCTGGACGATACACACATTGTTTTTGTTTACGGTTACCATGGCGATCCTGAGATACAGTATCTTTGTCTACAAGTTTGCAATGCTCAACTCTATCATAATGGTGCGTGACCTGATGTACAAAATTAATTAGTTGACTAATGACTGCTTGAAAAATCTTTAATGCCTAATAAATTTTATTCCTAGATTTGCTTGGATTTGTAGTGAAAATCCTAAAAAAATAAAAATAGTAAAAATTTTAAAAATAGTAAAAAATTGTAGTGTTTATTTTTTGCAAACAAATTGTGTCAGTAAGAAGATAGATCCCAAGCTTGTTTTATATCAACCTTTGCAAACACCACCTCCAGTTCTTCGATTTTCAGTTGAAAGCATTTCATTAACGGCTGATTTGTTACTTTTGCTTAACATGCAGGTCTGCTCCCAGTGAAGAGCAACAAGCTGTCCACCTTTGAAGATGAGTTCTCTCCAACCAACATCTCTCACAACCTCCATAAAATCCTCTACCCCAGCAACAATGGCATCAAAGATAAAGGGTCAAACGATATGCTGTCGGCCACCATCAAGATGACCTACGAAACCTTCCAACAAGTTATGGTCAGTTGTTAACTCTCTTTTTTTATAAAAGTCAAGATCATTTCAGTACCTTTTTATTATTTGCATATTTATTTCTCTGCTGGCCAATAAATTTGTTCTTGAAAAATAATGTCTACAATAATCCTTTGAAGTTGAGCTAGTTGGGAACTAGCTTGCTTGATAAAACCTGATGTTCATGTGTTTAAGTTTTATGTGTCATTTAGGAGGATGTTCAGTGAAAATTAAAATGATTATTGACTTGCAGCATTACAAAGTGGCAGTAACAGTGAGGTGTTGCACTGTGAAGCACCACGAAGGAACTGTTGAGAACTACTGGGCCAACCAGGTTCGTTTCATTGAGGGCTTCTCTTTCGTTTTCTTCATTACAAAAACAAATGCAAGACTACTTGATAAGTTGTTTCTTATTTAGTTGAAACTTGGTACTTGCAAAGGTTGTACATTATATTTTGTTCATTAGCAGATCAATGAAATAGCTGGTTCATGAGTGTATTTATTTTAAGCGGCTGACTCATCAGCTTATTTTTTAACTGGTTCATTACAATAATTTTAAATACTTGGTTCATTAGCATATTCATAACACAACCGGTTCATTAACATAAGTATTGAAAGTTGATTCATGTATAACCCTCTTTTGTAGCTGGCTGACCTTTTTACATTGGTTGATTATGACATACCTGGATATGAGTTACCAAAATCATCAACTGAGTTGAACTTTCAGCTGTTGGATTGCTCTCTTGATTACCAGCCAACCAACTTGCCTTACCATGCCATCCTTTATTGTCAGATGTTTGCAATATGCAGCAGTATCGTTGTTGAAACGAAGGGCTCAGTGACCAAGTTAGTTTTTGCCCAATCTTCCAATCTCACTTTACAACTCACATTGATTGAACATTTTGAACAACTGACTGTTTATTTGACAGCAGCACATGCATCATCTCATTAATTTAACTAAAAATGTTTCTAATTAGATTCATCGTTGAAGACACTTGCCTCTTTTTGTCAAAAAGAATAAACGAAGAAGTTATAAACTTAGAAAAAAGTAGACATTTCAATTTCAATTGTTCGGTTCCGCGATAAATTTTTGACATAATCTTAATTTACCAACCAACTAATTAAACAGCCATTCATACAAACAAACGAACAACCGAACAATCAATTAATAAAACAAGCAACCAGCCGACCAACCAAATAAACAAACATCCAAACAACTAACCAATCAACAGATTACGTCTGCGTGCTTGACCTTGCTTCATTGGCCATCAACTTTGGATACAAGCCGCAAAACGTGGAGGTAGGTATCAGATTTTTCGTCATCATTTTAAAATCATATTTCAATCAGAAACTTGAACAACGTTTATCATTTTTTAATGTTGCATTGTTGTTATCATAATTTGTTCTGCGATCGTTTTCATGATTCATGATTGTTGATGATTCATGTCATCATAATTATTTATTTGACAATTGAAATATTTCCTCCATCACAGTACCGTTAATTTTCATTACAAAATGACCTTAATAACACATGTTCCCAGTCAAAGGAGCCTTACTTGGAGGTGTCATCGAAGGTAGGGGTCTTGAACATCAGGACGTGTTCAGATTCCATGGTGGCTCTTTTGGAATTCATCATCCACGTTGCCAACGTGGTGGAAAATAATCAGAAGTTGTCTTCAACGCCTTCGTTATCGTCGTCATCATCTTCAGTCTCACTCACATCTTCAACGTCCACTAATCTTAATGAGGTTTCCATTTCTCATTCTTAACATTTAAAAAAGCGAAAACTTTAGATGATCATTTGTGAGCTATAATAAGCTGCAAACGCTTGTTAGCTTTGCAAATGACACATTGCAAGATTCATTGTCTTGTTATTCTTGTGAGTCAACTTTTCTGAAAGTCTTTGTTCAAAATGGTCAGCTTTGGAAGAAAATGTGTCAGTCTGTAATTGCTAGTGTAGCTTTGTCTCAATTACTGTGAAGCGTTTTTAAAGTTGGTTATAATTTTCGATACTGATTAGTATTTTTAAATCCTATTTGAAGTTCTTTTTTAATGGAGTCCCTTTTTGTGGTATCCAACGTCTACAATCATCATCATCATTATTATCATCATCATCACGTTCATCAATCATCATCATCCTTACTCATCATCATCATCACTGTCACTCGTGTTCTATCATTTCAATCTGAACAAATTCAAAGTACATTGTCTTTTAAAAAGTTATAGATGCTTACCATTTATGTATCAAGAGTTATTAATTTTGTTTAACTGTGTTACCACACGCAACAAATGATAATAATATAGTAATTATATGCTAAGGTATATAAACAGTTGGCATAATTATACAGTAACGCTACTGAGTTGTTTATCTACTCAGTATTAATTGATGATTAACTGCTGACAACCAGGATGCTCCAGTATTGGGTGTACCTCGACACTTTGCTGGGATAACAAGTGAAGTTGATCAGCAAGAGAGAATTTCATTTTTGATTGAAGAGGCCATGAGGGAAAGTAAGCATTTCATTAAAGTCGCCATCACGAGTGCGATTGCTACCCTTGTAAACATTTCATAAGTATCATTATCAAATTTTATAAAATTTTAACGGTTGCGTTTTTTCCAGATGCGGAGGAGAATGAATCAGAAATGGCGTCGTCTGAAATTTATTCAGCGTCTCTTTCGACATCAATGACCTCGTCGTTAACATCAGATGTCACGCCGCTGCGTCAGCGCCCGCAACGGCTGCCGTACGACGAGAAGCCAGCGGCTTCTGTTTTTTACAACACCACTCCCTCTAGTCTCTCGGCATCTCGTGATGCTGATCTTTCTGATAACGATGACGACGTGGAGGACGTTGACGGGGGTGTCCGCGAAAGAAGGCAACGGCGTTTCAACGAAGGAACCAACCACACCGATGATTTCTGCCTTGTTGAAAAACCTGCCTACCTTGTGCCGCCAGTTAGTCAGTCGTCTGGTTGTATGATCTGCCTTTTAGTTATGATTGGGGTTCTGATGGCTTTGAAGTTGAACGCAGTTGCAGTGGGGATATATTTACATTAATTAAACTTATCTAAGTTTGCTTCAAATTCTGAGTAATTATGGTGGTCAGTATTTTGGTGTGATTGAAAATAATGAGTATACAAATTCAAAAATTGAATCCACTGACAAAAATTTGTTCCTGATCAGTCTAGAAACGGTGAGCCCATTGTGACATGGCACGTTGAGAAACCACTGAACATTATTGAAAATTACTTTGCCATAAAAACTGGCCGACGCAATGTGATGGATCCATCACCAAAGCACCCACCGCCCATAGAAATCTATCAGATTGAAGGTAGTGCCGTCAACTGGCACATGTTTGGTGGGTCTGACTTCAAATACAAAGCCCATCATAAACACGGCTTGTTGCGTGATTCAAAGTTGAGAAGTTTTAGATTTTGTTGTGGTCCAGGCCGTAACAATGATATGCATATGTCACTAACGCTAAAAAAAGTTTGTCTTTTTTGTGATTTAAAAATTTTCTGTTTTTAAAAATTTTAGAGTTTTTGGGGCCATTATTTTTTTAATTTTCAAGTTTAAATATGAATAAGATTGTAATTTACAATGCATATTAGTTGAGTTGTTTTCATTGTTTAAATTATTAACTGTGTTATATGCACTCTCAAAATGATGTTTGTTGAAGGTTTTTTAAATTTTGATCAAATGATAACTTCCATGACGACCACTTCCAGATCATTTTTCAACACAAACGGTTTCCCACTGACGAAAAATTTTCCACGAGAGATGTTCTTGAAATTCTTGACATCGAAATTTATGACAAAGTCAAAGTGTCTAGCATGAACAAGTTTCTTCATTGGTATTCTTCAGATAAATTGCCGAAGAAGACATTTGGAAGAATGGTCAGTCAATATTTGTACGTCATCTAGCAACATTTTGTGTGGCAATTGAATTCGGTCAATGTTGTATGTATGTAAGTAAGCGTCTATAAATATTTTAATTTGACTATCAAGATCACTCACATCTGCTTCGGAATTTATAAGAACCGGTTGGGTGTTATTTTTTGGTGCGCGGCGTGAAGCAGTGTTCTGATGCGTGACTGGATTGCTCCTACGCTGAATTACTAATAATGGCAATAACTCTTGATCACAATGCAACAAACAGTTAACGGTTGTCTGTGTCGGAGAGAAACATGAGGTGGACGACGTGGAGAGCGAATACTCTTTGAAGATCTCTCTTCAGCCTTTAAAACTAAATATTGATCAGGTTATTATGATTTATTATCCGGTATTTAGACAGAGCTTCATTTTGCTTAGCATTAATTTTTCCAACCAAATTATATTATACACGAACGTAATCATAAAACTCGAAGTTAATGTATGATGGAAAGTAAGGTATGCAGCATTGCAGGAACAATTAGCATCATCATCACGATCACCCACGTAGGATTCCCTGATGTTCCTGTATACGTTCTTCAATGAAATCAGCACAACTGCTTCGCGCAATCCACCGCCAACCTTCTCGGCAGCTCCCAGCCAGCACGCCACTCCCACAAGGACCGTCAGGATTGCCACGCCATCTCTCCAACGACAACAGTCTGCTGATCTTTTGAAATTCGATGATGACAACGATGATGAGAAACTTGTGAGCAACATGGCAGATCTGCTGCAGCAACAACACGTAGATGACTCGGAGGAGTTGTTGGCAGACAGCAAACAAACCAGCAGACCCATTTTCTTCAAGTATTTTTATTTTATAAAAATGCACTGTGTCGTTGTTGATAGTGATGTTATGGATGATGATGTGATGATGATGTTGTTGTTGTCGATGATGAAGGAGCTGATAATTGTTTTGGTGATAATGTTAATGAAGATTTTCTTAAACAATTCATAACAAATTTCTCTTAATAGCTTCGCTACCACTGATTCGAGTTATTAAAATTTCCTATTTAGATCACTTCAGTTTGCCCCATCTGTCCTCATAAAAATCGATTACAGAGGTTCGTGTGTTTCTTGTTCATTTAACTCTTGTCAGAAATATTTACGGCGATTTTGGTTTAATTTTCATAGCGCTTTTTTTACTAAATTTTAGCATTTGAGAAACTATAGTAGTTTTACAAATGACGACGAAGACGAACCCTTAAGTTTAAAGCACTTTCTAAAATTTGATTTCAGCTAATTCAGCATTTACGTCTTTGTTTATGAAAATTGATGCTTGTAAAGATGGTATGATGAAAAATAATGAATAAATCTTCGGTGCTCAGACATAAATGAAGTTTAATTTTGGCTCTTTGACAAGGCATCACTGACTGAAGAGTAGATGGGGTGACGATTGATGATGGTGAAGTTTACATATTTGTCGACAAGTTTAAATTGATATTGAAACGTTGCCAGGTAAAAGAATTGAGAACAACAGCCTCGTGAGCATCGTCGCCGGCCTCACTCAACTCAGCTGCTCGCAAATCACACTCAAATCTCTTCATTACCGACACGGGTTATTTCAACATTTTTTTATCTCATATATCTGCTTAGGCGGGGTTGTAAAACATTCAAAATTCTGTTTATATTTTAATTAACTTCAGTATTTGAATGGAACAAATTGTTTTATGTCGAAAAGTAAGCTTTGGCTAATTTTTAGTTATTTTCTTTTGCATTATTTATATTTTCACACGTTTGTCTAACCAGAATTTTTATTTCCGTAATTAATTTTAGTCCTATCTCAATTTCACAATCTCAATTTTTTATTCAAGGCCACCGTAAAATGCAAACTAAGTTTTTAGTGATTGCTGAGTTGCTGCTGCTAAAGAAATATTAGTAGGTCATTGACGAGGAAAGTATTAGCAGGTCAAATTTTAGGTGGCCAGTGAAATTTTAGTAGGTCGTTGGATAGAAGATGATTAGCCAAAGAAAAAGCTGGTCATTTTAATAGAAATTTTAGAAGTACATGGATCGGGGGAACGTTAGTGGTTCATTGATATGACCTACCTATTATAATGATGATAATTCTCGCAGATTACTCGGTTTTGAAAAGTTAGTCTTGTATATGTTGAATGAGTGGATGGTCGACGTCAAACGAAATCAGCTGACTGACTTCCTGTCTGGCGTCGGTCCAATGAACTCTCTCATTCAGTTAGGTTGGTCTGCGTATGCACGAATGCAACAATCAAAATGTCCTCTCTGCTCTTTATATGCTTGCTGGGGATTCACTTTTATTACATTTTCATAATTGTTTTTCTTGTGCAACGTTCAAATTTGTAATAATAATAATAATTATTATTATTATTTTTAGTAGTAGTAAAAATGAAACTAGAAATTCCATCGTTCACTTATTATTGTTGGCGTCACCGTCAGTCTTGTTGTCGCTCGTGATGTCATCAATGTTGTTATTGTCATTAATGTTATTGTCATCATCAATGTCATTATTGTTGTTATCATAAATTTCGTCATCGAGATATTTTTTATTATTGTCACCACCATTCAGTGAAGGGCTTCATAGACTTGTTTTGGCTGCCACTGGAGCAGTACAGGAAGGACGGAAGAATATTGAAAGGACTGAGGAGAGGTACTCATTCATTCGCCACGTGCACCGCTCTGTCAGCTCTAGAACTCACCAACAAAATGCTTCAAGCCATACAGGTCAATATTTTGTTATATATAACGAAGAGGAAGAAGTTGATGGTCTTGTATATGAATGTTTGAATAACGACAGCACTGCATACTCCTGAGCATCTGGTGGTGGTAGTGGTGGTTTTGTAATCACTACACAGAGTCTACCTGGCAGCTCATCTGTCCTGCCATATTTCACTGTTTCCCTCGTCAATTTTGTTCTGTGCGCTAGAAGTATTACAATGGGAATGAAAGTTAAAAGTTCTTTTAACGTTCTAGATCTGATCATCCTGCGTTGATCGGATTATAACTTTTTATCGAACGTGCTTCTTGAGCTGCACCAACGTTTCATAAAGTAAAAGTACTCTGAAAAATTGTTATTTTTGATCGCTAGAGTTGTACTAAACAGTAGATGTCAGTTGTAATAACAATATTATTATTTAATAATTTTAAAACTTGCATTTAGTTTAATTTAAAAATTGTCGTGTTCTAAATACGTCTTGACCTGAGCATTACACGTTGAAGGCGTTAAAGAAACTACAATATTTCAATGCAGCACTCAACGTCCAGACGAACAAATCAGGATGCTTTGAAGTTAATGAAAATCTGTCAAAATAATAATTTGTTGACGCATAATTAAGCTTCAGCCAGCTCTTTTTAACATGGCCATTTCTTATCAACGGCGCTGAATTTTTTTCTTTATAATATTACGCTTGTTTATTGTTGATCACCATATATCATCATGTTTATGTTAATTTTTAAAAATGTAAAATGTCGTCACCAGTTGGTGGCTGAGGCAGCCCACGACATCGTCTCCACTGGACCGAGCATCCAATCGAAGAACAAACTGGTCAGCAAACGATCGGGCCGACCGATAGACGCCAGGGATGGAGTGACAAAAGCCTGCGCCCTTCTGAGACAGGTGGTTCTTTGACCGGAACAGTTAATAGGGTCATCGAATAAGATAACATTTACGCTTGTTCAGCGTCGTCACTTTTTAGTAGCAAAACGGGCTTGGTTTAAATATCTCTGTATTTTCATTAATGTTGAAATGTTTTAATACTAACTGCACTACTGTTAACTCTGTTGAAGGGGTTGGCCAACAGATGTACTGAGTTTTGCAACGAAGTTATCAAAGAACATGAACAGAAAGGTTTGTTGAGCATTTGTTATATTGCTGTGCATGCGTAAGTTGATTTGTTTGGGTGTCAACTCGTAAGTTAACCAAATACCACAAGCAAACGTACAATCACTCTATTCTTGTAACATTCTTTAGTACTTGTTCAGGTTAATGTGACGATCCCGGATTAATTTGATCTTTGGTTTAGAGTTAGCGTTTTTTTGCTTTTAAAATGTTTAAAATCATTCGATAAAATGTTTTACCGAAAAATGCAAACAGGTGTCCCAGGGGTGATTGGTGAAGTGGCCAGGCAGATTCCTCCCACCGTGATCGCTCCCGTCGTTTTGGCCGCTGAAGCATCAGGGACGGTCCTCACTGGAATAAGGAATCAGTTGGTACCTGTCAGGAAGAAAGAGGACGAGGATAAGTGGAAGGTCGACTCGAAAAATAAGCTGTCATTCCAAGAATGATTGTTGAGATGATGATGCTGGTGATGTTTATATTTAAATAAATCTGACGATGACTGATGGTAATGATGAAAGTGACAAAGTCAGTACTTACAACAATGTGTGAAACGACTTGAAAGTTATCGTGTAGGTGACGAATTTGATTAGTTGATTGTGATAACTGCACTGTTTTTTTTTTTTTTATTTTTCTATTTTGTCTATTTATCATGATTTTATTTTAACAGGCTTTAATAACTAACAGATGATTTATTTTTCTCTTGACATTTGCATGTTATAGCGAACTTAAAATGAAAAAAAATATATCTTAGTTCCTTTTGTACGTACACGTATAATTGTATGTCTAAGTGTTTCTTTTTTTTATGCGCAAATGCTCTTCCTAGATGATTCGTTTCTAAAATTCATTTAAAAACATTGCTAGTATTATATTGGTCCTATTGACAATCAATCAATCTGCATGATTGGTTTGTGTGGCGTGTGTGCGTATATATATATATGTATGTGTGTATATATATATATATATATATATATATATAATACATATATATATATATATAATATGTGTGTTAATTTATATATGATAGATAATTTTTCATTTTAAAATGCAAGCATTGTTTTTAAATGAATTTAAAATGTGTTTATTTTTCACGCATTTTGAACAGTCTGCATATTTTGGATGCATGTCGTTTGAATTATGCAAACTACCTCTGCGGAGTTCCGTGCGCGTGTGTGTCTGTGGTGAAGTCAATGAGTATCGAAGGAAGGTGACTACTAATCACTTCATCCTTGCAGATGTTTCATCAATTTTCTTTTACGTTTTTTTTTCAATTGACAGTTAACGTCACGATTAAACTTGATTATTTAATAATTGGTATTTAATAATTATCATTTACTTAATGAATATTCAATTGCTGGCGTTGTTAGGTTATATGTTCGATGTTGCCAACGCATTCGATACAGTGTTATTATACGGATATATAATCAACGATGCACATGATTGTGCCCTGTTGAAACATTTTATAGTAAAGATAATTCTAACGCAGCTGTTTAGATAGTTATATTTAAATGTTAAATTATCAAAGGGGCAATATTCTAATTGTCCCGTTAATTGCTGTCTAATGTATCGCCATGTGTTAATTACGTTCTTTCAATTGAGATGCATCCTGCGACGAATGCCTGCCTGCGTGGACGGCATAATATTGAATGCCGTGCCGCGCTTGTGGAAATGTTTTAGAGGCGATTACATTATAAGAATGTTTTATTAATGGAATGTTAATGAATGTTGCCTGCTTTGTAGATTTGCATTTTTAGTATATTTATATGTAACATGAACATTTGCGTAGCGCCCGTTGTAAAATTGTGATATTCTAACAGGCGATATATATATTTAGATATATAAAATGTGTGTGTATGTAAAAGTTTTATGTTTTGAACATTCATTTTTGAAACATTTATTTATGCATGCAGTCATGACCGCAGTTCTCAACTTCAACGTAATATACAATCATCACATGTCCTGTCAGTTGTGTAGGTGCTATAATTATGTTTTTGCTCTTTGGTAGGCTCTTTGTATTGGATTAACAAAATAAACTTAACACCAGTTTTTAAAGTATGTGTGTATTTTTCCAGTGGCGGATCTAGACAACTTTGACGGGGGTGGGGCCAAAATTTTAAACATGTTTAAAAGTTTAATTTTTTCAAACAGGACAGGGGACCAAGATTTGTGGTAGCGTTGCAAAAATTAGGCTGGCGACCTTTTTTGATATAAAATGGTGTTTTTTATGCAAAAGCTGAGTTCTTTTAATAAATATACTGCTCACAACTGGGTGATGGTCATGCTAGAATCAAAGATAAAGCCTAGACTACGAAACTCATGAGAAACATCAAGAGTTTTAGAATCAGGTAAAATAATAGAAGGAATTGTAATAGAGCGTTTAGATTTATTAAAACAAATTAACTAAAATTTAAAAGGATTAAGTTTAAGACGCATAGAGGCAGACCAAGCGATAATTGAAGAAAGACAGAGATAGACTATGAAGAACACTATTGAGGTTATATGAAGGAAATGAAGTATAAATATAAAAATCATCAGCTTATAATTGACTAGTGAAATAAAAATTATTAATAATACAAAGTAGTTTAGAAGTATAGAGTATAAATAGAAGAGGGCCAAGGATAGAACCCTGAGGTACCCCAAAAGTAAGAGTAGAGGAGTAAGAAGTAGAATTATTAAGATCAACAGAAGAAAAACGATTACAGAGATAAGAAGAAAACCAGAAAGACAGAAAAGAGTTAGTAATATTAAAAGAATGATATAGTAGCCTCAAGAGAATAGTATGATCAACAGTATCAAAAGCAGAGGAAAAGTCAAGAGCAAGAAGAAGGTAAGATTACTATTAAAACTAGAGAGAAGGCTATCATTATGTATTTTGAGTAAAGAAGTTTCAGTACTGTGAGCAGGTCTGAAACCAGATTGAAATACAGGTAGCATGAGGAGTTAGAGTTTAAATAAAATGATAATTGGTTATAAACTACTTTTTCTATTATTTTAGAGATGAAAGTAATATTATTAACAGGTTTATAATTAGATAAAGAGGAAAGATCTAAAGATGAGTTTTAAGAATATGAATAACGAATAGAATTCTTATAAGAGTTGGAAACTTAGAGGTGGAAAGAGGTAAATTAACTAATTTGAGAAAGATAGAATAAAATATTGAAGAAAATTCTTTAAGTAAATAAGAAGGAAGTAGATCTTTCAGAGAACAAGTTGTAGATGACATAAATTAATAATTTTATTAAGTTCTAGAAAATTTTAGGAGTATATACAGAAAAAGATTCGGTAGTAAGTTTAATAATGTTATAAGGAGTAGAATGATAATTAGATGTTCTAGGAGAATTTTCTCCGCTTGTTATAGCAACAACTTTTTTTTACCAACAGCCCAGTTTTGAGTGTCAGATTGAGGAAAGATTTTGTTCACGTATACGTGTATATATATATAAATATATAAATATATATATATATATATGTTGGTAATAGACCATAATTTTTATAATATTCTATAAATTCTACCGAATGTTTGGCGTTAATATGTTTGTAGTTCGTTTAATCCAGAACTACCTTCTTTTTAACTTCTAATTCTCGAGAGAGATGGAGCAGTCGCTGCTCGCGATCTTGTTCGCTAGTTAGATTGCGTCGGTTGGTCGCAGAACTTCGAGTAAATGTTAAATGTTAAACGAACTACAAACATATTAACGCCAAATATTCGGTAGAATTTATAGAATATTGTAAATATATATATATATATATTATATATATATATATATATATATTATACACGTATAATGTATATATATATATTATATATATTATACACGTATAATGTATATATATATATATATATATATATATATATATATATATATATATATATATATATATATATATATATATATATATTGTAATGACGTTATTAATAATGTTTTGTCAAAAATATCAAATACATTATACGTAAAGTTATATCAGTAAATTTCGGTAACAAATTTTCATTTAAGCATATTTCATTAAACGCGATGCTTATATTATTGTTATTTAATTAAATAACAATAATATAAGCATCGCGTTTAATGAAATATGCGTAAAGTTATATATGTATATATATATATATATATATATATTTGTGTGTGTGTGGTGTGTATGTGTATGTTTGTGTGTGTGTTTGTTTGTGTTTATATTTATGTGTGTATGTAATTATGTTCCGTCTTGTGCACCCCTTGAATGTCTGATGGAATCATCAGTATTTTATAAGTTTATACTGCAGCAGTGGAAACTAATTGCATCTTTCTATATAAGCCGGTACATGCATCACACTTTCATATTCCGGTGTTGGTTTCAGTAAGTGTGTTTTCAAGAATTAAGAGTTAAATATATTTATTGTTCCATTATGACAGATTAATTAATATATATGTCGAACGATTTTACACAATGCTAGATAAGAAAAAAGCAATGTTAATTGTTACAGTATTCATAATTTCATTGCTGAGAACTATTGAGTCCCAGCAGGATAACACAGGAAGTGAACAGTACATTCCTCAATCGGACACTCAAAACTGGGCTGCTGGTAAAAAAGTTGTTGCAACAGCAACGTGCGGAGAAAATGTCTCAGAACCTGAACTTTTCTGTAAACTAACCGGAGCTAATCCAGATTTGGAAGGAGACCTCTCCGACCATCAAGTCATCCAGGGACAATACTGCGACTACTGCAACCCCAGAAATCCTTCACAAACTCATTCAGCAGAGTTCGTGACAGACGGTACAGAAAGATGGTGGCAGAGTCCTCCACTCTCAAGAGGTCTTCAGTACAATGAGGTCAATCTCACTATTGATCTGGCTCAGGTTCGACATTCATTGTTTTATTTATCTATTCTATTTCTATGCATTGAATTTTACTTTCAGTTTGTTCAATACGTGGTTTCGTTTTATTTATATGTACGATTGACTTCTTTTTAAGTTTGTGTACAAAATTTTGTTTTTGGTTAATTTATAATTATTTTTTATAATATAGGTTATATAAGGTTTCATTTAGTTGTTTTAAAGTTTTTTTTTTGAGTTGGCTGGGTAGTAATACATGAGATTCAATCATTCGTGTAGAAATCGCTATTTCATATATCGCTATTTCATATACTTGAACCTTGATAACAGTAAGTCCGCTGGATGATACAAATGAAGTGCAGCTTATATTATACTATGCAGTTTTGCATGTAAAAAGCTGCTTGTTGATTTTAATATATATTCCCTCTCTCTCTTTCTCTCTCTCTCTCTTTCTATATATATATATATATATATATATATATATATATCAAATTTAATGCTCCACTGTAAATTCAAAACTTTAAGATTTGTTATTGAGAGTAGACTACCATTGTGTCTGGGAAAGTTTTGAATTTACGGTGGAGCATTAATTTTATTGAAATATGTCACGCCGACAAAAATTTTGAGTATATACTTATATGCTTACATGTATACATTTATTTATATTTTATAATTATGTATAATGAAAAAATGAATCTTGTGCATTCGCAGACAACTGAGAAGCATGTGTGTGGCTGAATTGCATGCCTCTTTTCATTAATAAATTAATGAGTATGTATATGAATGAAGGAATAAATGAATAAATAATTAAAGTTATGAATAAATAGTTGACGGTATAGATAAAAATTGAAATATAGGTAAATAAAAATATCAATACCCTATATATATATATATATGTATATATATATATATATATATATGAGAGTGTGCGCGCGTGTATTGTTTGTTTGTGTGTGCGCGTGCGTGTGTTTGTGTGTAGTTTTCAACTTTAAATACTTTTTTTAAAACAGTAGGACTGGATAACCCAGCTATGTGTACGTGCGACTAAGTGTTGTGCTCCTGGATATAATATATAATCATGGTTGTGGTTAATTAATAAACAAATACAAATTATCATCTGTTATATATTTGTGTCTGTGTGTCTGTGTACATACGCGATTTCGTTGGAATATAATAAACAGCAATCCCTGTGTGGGTTCTCTAAATAAATTATTAATAAATAAATTTGTATATATATATATATATATATATATATATATATATATATATATATATATATGTTATATTTTGTTAATTCTATCATGGGTGCTATTGATTTGATACATCAAATCAATATATTACATTTATGTATCTCAACATATGCATAAATATTTGTGCGTGTGCTCTATATTCTTTAAATTTATACACGTGTACACAATTATTCTGAAAAACCTTTTAGATAGATAGACTATTAAACCATCTAGTTTCTGTTGCTGCCTACATCACTAGCAAAGCTGGTTGCATGCATGGATAAACTAGTTGGTTGGTTGGTTGGTTGATATAATATATAATCATGGTTGTGGTTAATTAATAAACAAATACAAATTATCATCTGTTATATATTTGTGTCTGTGTGTCTGGATGGATGGATGGATGCTTCTGTTTAAAAACTTTTTACATGTGATTACGTGTGATGTGATTATGTGGTGATGATGACGATGTGATGATGGCGTGCATTATATTTAGAATTGTAATGTTTAATTGTTCAAACCAAACCTTTCCCATACAAACTTTCGTTTGCTGTTGACATTCGTAAATAAAATACGTGCTGTTTTGTTTTTTCACCCTTCCTACACACGCTTAGATATATATGATTTATAAAATACTGCATATATTAACAAAAATGTACACACACAAACACATACGCACGCACGCACACACACACACACATATATAATATACCACATATGTAGTAACGTTTATGTACCCATGGAATGTATGACTCAACAGCAGCAGCAGCAGCAACCAGTAAGGATGCCTGTTAGTACAACTCTGCAGCAGAACCTGATAGCAGAGCACACACAGGCACAGGCATGGTATGGTGCATACAACTTTAATTAATTGCACAAACACGATATCTTTCAAATGAGTACAGCAACTTGTTAATGAATTTAGTTCATCCTACAACAAATGTTCCAACCCTTCTATAGTTAACGTTTGTGTCTGTATGTGTGTATTTTAATTTACATTTACCCGCCACCAAACTTTCTCAGTGCGTTACGATTGACCACACGGTCAGCTTTTTTGTTCTTTTAAACTAATGGAATGTTTGTATTAACTTTTTTTTATTGTCCATTTTTCCATTCAAATTCATGATCGACCATGCAATTGAATTGAACTAACTGTGTTAATTTCTATTTGTTACGTAAATTTACGCGTGTTTTCATGCGCTGTGTGATTGCTGAAGATGGATACCCATGAGAAACACTTGAAAAAATTGTGAAGAACTTTACTGTGCATGATGCCTAAATTATCAATATGTTTCTACTCCAATCGCAACGTTTAAATCAAAATTTGATAAAAACTACTGATTTAAACTAAGTTAGAAGACTTGGAAGATAAATTCCAAAAATGTTAAATAATGACGTTTGTCAGTTTTTACCAACTACATTTCATCGCTCTACTGTTTAAAATTATTAAATAAACGAACAAATCAATGAGCGAACGAATCAATGATTTGGAAATGTCTGTATATTAACATAAGTTAAGTAAATGTTTAAAAAATAATTGTTAATAAATTTATATTTAACTTGACAATGACAATACCATCTATTGTTTTTGAACAAACCTTTACTGGGTGCTACAATTTTTATTTCCAACATTTGCAATGTAACTTTGAAACAATGTTTTTTTTAATTTTTTGACGTTTGTAGGAGCTACATGTCGGATATGTTTACATTACGATGGGAAATTCTCCTCGGCCTCGAGTCTTTGCATTGGAAAGGTCAAAAGATAACGGAAAGACCTGGACTCCATGGCAGTTTTTTGCTGATTCGGAAAGTGAGTGCCAACACCATTTTGGAGATTATGAATACAGCGAGAATCTGGATGCCGATGATTCAGTTCTGTGCACTACCAAGTTTTCTGACGTCAAACCATTGGAAGGAGGCGAAGTAAGGAGGAATCGTTTAATGATCAGATAAAGAATAAATTTTACGTTTAAAATAAACTTATATATATATATATATATATATATATATATATAGACTAATAATAAATATTTATATTTAATTTTTATCTTCAGATATGTACATAGTTTGACTTAAATGGATGAGTAGCTTTTATATGGCGTTGTTTTACAATTTTTTTTTGTATGCTATATTTTGAATGACATTTTTGTTTTATTTTTATTGCTCCAAAACATTCCGTTTAGATAGTCATGACTGCAATTTCATTATTATTTTGTTTTAGAAAATTTACAATCTCATATTTACATATGAAATACTGTATAAAAGAATATACATATCATATGATATGCTGTATAAACCGTACTAACGAAACAACCACGCAGATTTACGTATCTCTCATCAACAATCGTCCAAGCGCTGAACGTTTTCAAGAATCCAAAGTGCTGAAAGAATGGACGAAGGCAACGAATATACGACTGAGGTTGTTGAGAGTGAATACACTGCTAGGTAGGCTGATGGCCATCAACCAACAGGATGTCACCGTCACAAGAAGAGTCAGTTTGAGATATTTCTGTTGTTTCTTCACTATAAACATATTAGATAAAATATTTTCACTGCTTCGTTTGTAAATTGATTTGTTTTTATTTTAATTGTTTATGATTGAGATTATCAAAAAGTACAATCGCTGCCTTGCAGTACTTCTACAGCATCAAAGGAATTTCAGTTGGAGGCAGTTGCATTTGTAATGGTCATGCCAGAGAATGTACAAAACCTGATCCCAAGAATCACTTGAAAAAATTGTGCGAATGTCAGCACAACACTTGTGGAGACCACTGTGACCAGTGTTGTTATCCATTCATCCAGAAGAAATGGAGACCTGCCGAAACACATTCCAACAACGAATGTGAACGTAAGTCATTTCAAGAAAAACCGTCTCTGCTCTGTTGCAAAAAATGCATGACAATATTATGCCATGACATATGTAATTTCTATGAAAAAATTTTAAGTATAAAAATAACGTTCGTTTTTGTTTTGCGCCAGGCTGTCAATGCAACGGTCATTCGGACACATGCTACTACAGTGAAGAAGTTGCCCAAAACAAATCCAGCCTCGACATTTATGGGAATTACGAAGGTGGAGGCGTCTGCACCAACTGCCAGCACAATACAGAAGGTTGTTTTGCTTTTGTAAAACAGTTTTTGCACAAATCAGCCGTATTTGCGTGAATGTTTTAACAGCAAATGATTATCGCTAAAGATTAATTTCAAGCATTTTTTTATATTATCAGGTATAAACTGTCAAAAATGTCGAAGAGGCTACTACAAAAGGGCAAATGTGCTCATGAATGCTCGAAACGCCTGCGCCAGTGAGTAGTAACATACTGTGAAGCCATGTATTTGATATGTTAAATCGTGTCTAACATAGTGTTACGCCATGTGTCATTGTGTGTTAAGTTATGTGCAGTGTGTGTAATGTGCAGTGTGCCTTAACGTATGTACGATTTCCTACCGTGTCCATTATATTTTTTGTCCCCTTGTATTTGGATTTACATTATTATTTTCTTTATGAATCAAACTGTTGTTAATATTGTTGCAACTAAGATGGTTTTTGTATTTAATTTTAAACTTTCTTTCAAATAATCTCATTATTTCAGAATGCAACTGTGACACCATATTCTCTTCTGGTGCATGTGACGATGAGACAGGCAGATGCCAGTGCAAACCTGAATTCTCAGGACCTGATTGCAGACGGTAGCTAGACATTCATCATTTCATCAGACATTCATCATTTCATCAGACTTCGTCATTTCACCAGATATTCATCATGCCATCATTAAAAACATTTTATGAAATAATATAATACACGATGATTGCTGTATGCATAATCATTTTAGTGTTTTTAATTGTTATTAAACATAAAACAAGCTGTCCTCCTAAGTTTTAAAATTTTAAACTGCACTATTATTGAACCGTATAAAATCACTTCAGATGTAACGAAGGTTACTTTGGCTACCCTCGCTGTCAGCCGTGCAGATGTCACGTTAATGGCACCAGAGACAAGGTCTGTGACCCGTCTGGAGGCGTGTGCCCTTGCAAGGAAAACTACGATGGGCCTAACTGCGACCAGTGCGCACAAGGGTTCTACAATTTTCCAGAATGCAAACGTTAGGAATAATAATTTATCGGATGTTTTGATGTTATTTTTATTACTAATGCTGATATTTTTATAGTTTGCCAATAAAAATGTTAAATCTGTCGTAACATATTTCCACAACAGCCTGCAACTGCGATGCCATCGGTTCGAACAGCAGGAGATGCGATCTGAGGACTGGTCAGTGCATCTGCAGAGCCAGGTATGGAGGAAGAGACTGCGGTACTTGTGCTCATGGATACTACAACTACCCACAGTGTGAAAGTAGGTTACTGCAGCCCGGTTGCATTTTTTGTGGATTTGTTAATTAGTTAATTCGTTAATTTATTCGTTAATTCTTCTTTTCTTCATCTTTTCTTTTCTTCTTTTCATTTTGACAATTTATGCGAGTGGTACAAAATTTGTGATGTCAAATTTGTATTTTACAAAAGTTTGCAGTTGCAACACAAATGGTGCCACCGAGGAGGTCTGCAGGAAAGACGACGGTGCATGCATCTGCAAGAAGAACTTTGCCGGAGAAAGGTGCGACAGGTGTCTGGCAGGGTTCTACAGATTTCCTTACTGCATATGTCAGTAGATTTCCTTCTATTTTGTGTTGCTATGCTAATGTTTTGGCTGAAATTGTTCTAAGGCTGTAATGTTTTTGTGCATTCGTTAAAAATTTTAATATTTTCATGTTTTCTCTTTTGTCTGTAATTTTGTAATTTATACAGAATATTATCAACATGATCAGTTATGCTAATTGAAGTGCGTTAAATGTGAAAAGAGAACTTGCGAAATTTAGGAATCAAATTAACGTTTTGGTTTGGAAAAGTGTTCAAGTAAAACAAAATTGGTTAGCGTGAAATGAAGCTATTGGAAATAATATTAAAATTATGAAATAACATTTTCAACGCAATTTTGATTAACAACAGCTTTAATTGTTGGGTTTGTTTTGTTGGAATTCGCCAGAACTTTTAACGAAATTGTTTGAAATTGAGTAATTTTTTTTCGACTTACAACGAAGTTGTTGAACTGTAAAGAGTTTTCAGTAATTAAATTAATTGGTACACTATTTCTCACCTATGCATGTCGAAATGGAAATAGCGCGTACAAATTAAGAGAATGATTCTTAAGTTGATTCAGAGCGTTAAAAATATTGTTACAATTGAAAATCAGCATTAAAAAGTTAAAATTAACAAACAAACGAACTGCCAGCAATATTAAAACCAGTCAACTATCAAACTGACCAATTTAGGGCGCCGAATAAACGTCATAATTAAAAAATGACATTATTATTATTTAAGAATCTAACCAGCCAGCCAGCCAACCAACAAACCAACCAATTACCAATAAATTAAACAACTAACCGAACCACCAGCGTGCAACTGCAACGAGAAAGGTGTTGTAACGAACGAATGCAACGAGAATGGTCAATGTAACTGCAAGCCGAACTACGTGGGCCAGGCATGCGACCAGTGCGCCCCAGGCTTCTACAAGTATCCAGAGTGCTTGCGTAAGTTTGGTTTTATGTTCATTCAGCAGTTTTTGATACGTTGAACTGTTTCTATCGCAGTTTTGCTGGGTGTAAATGAGTTATCTTGAACGGTATGGTACGTGATTGTCATCATCTTTAAAACGGGGTCATTATTTCACTCCATCATTACCA